GCCGGTCTGACCACGATCTACGTTAAGTTAGTCCTTATATTTAAGACGAATAAACTTTAATAATTTTATTAGAGGAGTTATTTAGGTTTAAAGTTTCTGTTTTTAAGTACGTCCACATACAAATTTGGCTACAAAGGTACATGGGTCATTTACGCCATTAGACCACTTACGCCACGACCTACGTTATTATATACACAACGAAGGGCGTATTCAAGATGATGGCCACAAAATACATAACTATAGGTTCAATTAAGAAGCTACGAGATGCTCAAGAAATGCAGCTGAAACACCGTTGTCAAGCGCACTTGGTATATTTCCTCTCCCTGTTGAGCTATGGAAACTGATAATTTCAACCAGATTCATCAGAGACCACACCACTTGCTCCGCATCCTCGGAGTCGAAAAATGAGGAGGCCATGGAATGCGGCTTGGGACTCGAGATACTGGCAATAAACATCCTGCGCAACTCTTAGATTAGTAAATGGCGCACTGGGAAGATAGTTGAACAATTTAAGCAGAAACGATAGCTGGAATTTCTCTACAGAAGATTGATCATGCCAGTGACCCCGCCGCCCCTGCATCTGCTAACCTTCCCTGAAAGCAGACATAACGTAGGGTTCTTGCCACGTCAAGTCCATGCTTGAGTATTTCATCCTCAGTAGGTATCTATGGATCATAGTGTGGATTGGTACAAGAAGTAGGAAACGTCTCCCTGAGTTTGTCCAGTACAGATGTGAGATTGGACGTTTGTGAAACCATCTCCCAAGACTCATCCGGTAGTTCTTGCGCATAGGGCACATGTAGAAGTTGAATGACATTTTGGAGAGTATCGGGGAGAACCACTTTGACTATCTCACTGTGTTCTAGGTTTGATAGTAGTATAAACGTATATCGCGTTTCATCAAATCCCAGTTCAAGGAGTGCAGTGCCATCCGTTGAGTATTGCGACATTATTTCGTCGTCAAGTGGCTCCTCCAATAAATTCCGAGAGAATTGCTCTGGGAGCTGAGACCTATTTTGTCGGTATATACTGGATACACCCTGCTTCCGCTAATAAGACGAAGAGTACTGTCTCTATAATCCTGAATCTCATCATCAGAGTCGCCATCATCTTCTTGATGAAGGTAGTACTCTGGCGGGTGGTCTTCAACATCTGAGTCAACATCTGTAGTATCAGAGTCGCCGCCCCCAGCATTATCCTCTAACGTAAGTCGTGGCGTAAGCGGCGATCTGGCGTAAGCGGCGATAAGTACCCTTATATACAACTTTGTATGGAAAGGTACTTCTACATCCAAAACTAAAACCTTAAATAGCTCCATGGATAAAAATCGTTAGGCTTAACGTAGGTCGTGGCCATACCGGGGCCATGGCCATACCGGGTTGGTCAGGTAAGCGAGCACTTAACTAACCCATCAAACCCATCAACCAACACACCAAACCTATCAATTACCCCATTATTATGGTACGCAAACGGAGTTTAAAAGCTCAAGAACGCGATATTCTAATACTTGAAGCAGTAGCTGGAGTAAAATCTGGTTTATATAAAACTGCAAATGCTGCTGCAAAGGCCTTACATCTAAGGCCTGATACAGTTGTTAGCCGCATTAAAGGGCGACATACCTCACATAAAGAAGCACATTTAAAACATCAATTACTCTCCCAAACCCAAGAAAAGACCCTTTTAAAATGGATCAAAAATCTTACTGCAAGTGGTTACGCTCCTAGCCATCGGATATTACGTGAGGTTGCAGAGGAAGTCCGGTCAAACAAGTGTCGGGTCTTCCAAACCCAGGTGAGCCAACCTACAGAGTTAGTTGACCAGCTCAGTCAGGTCAACTACCAACCCATCAAACCTGCCATAGACTGGCAGACTCGGCTATTTCTAACTAGTGGCTTGGCAGACCCCATCAAACCAACCGGCTCAGCAGCAGTCCCGACCAACTCAGCAGTCCCGACCGACTCAGCAGTCCCGACCAACTCAGCAGACCCGACCAACTCAACAGACACAAACTCAACAACCACAACTCCAACTACCTAAGTTACCACTTGGGCAAGATTGGGTGCCACGGTTCATTCAGAGGCATCCTAACTTACGTGTTAAGCTAGGAAGAAGGGTTGAGGCACAAAGGATGAATGGGGTCACAAAGCAGGTGTTGAAGGGGTGGTTTGACGCATACAAGAGCCCCACAACAGAGCAAAAAATCGAAAACTACAACACCTACAATATGGATGAGACTGGGTTTTCAATTGGAACAATGCAATCTACACGAATTATAGTCGATTCTACACTTAGGACACGTTTTCAGGCACATCCAGGAAGGCAGGAATGGGTCTCTGCTGTTGAGTGCATCTGGAACAACCACCGACCCCCTCATTATCTTCAAGGGACAGAATGTACTACAGAGCTGGATTCCAAAGGATGTTATAAGCAAATGGCACTTCTCTGCAAATACAAAAGGATGGACAAGCAATCTTCATGGATATGAGTGGCTAAAACGCGTTTTTGAGCCTTCTACAAGAGCAAAAGCAACACTTCCAAATGGACAACTACAACAAAGGCTCCTTATTTGTGATGGCCATGACAGCAATATAAGTGGGAGCCTCATATCACACTGCATACAGAATCGCATATCGCTCCTTATACTACCTCCACATACCTCACATATACTCCAACCACTTGATGTTGCAATTTTTGGACCTTTGAAAAGACACCTCACAACAGCCCTCTCACACCTTAATGAGGCGCAGCTCCTACGCATACAGAAAGCAGAATGGATGGATGCATACATACAAGCAAGAGCAGCTGCATTTTCAAATTCAAATATAACTTCTGCTTGGAGAGGGAGTGGGCTACAGCCGTTCCAGCCACAGACAGTCATACGCGCAGCTACACTTCCTACAACAGATGCACCCTTAGAACGGCCAAGGACTCCAACAGAGCATGATATTAGAAAGTATTTTTGAATAGCAGTCCTCCTCATTTTCAGACACTTCACAAAGCAAATACAGTTCTCTCTTCTACAATAAGTCGTGGTGGTGTTTTGAACACTCCTACAAAGCGATATATTCATAAGTTAGCAGACGAGACAGAGCGGCTCAATACATGCCACATACTACAACAAAGGGAGACAGATAACTTGCGCTCAATTATTCAGAAGCGCAGAGTACAAAATAAGGGCAAGAGAGCAGTTTTGAAGGGTCAATTCCACATCACAACTGAGGAGTTGCAGTCGCAAGTAGCAGAAGCAGAAGCAGCAACAACAGCTACATCACAAAAGTCGAAAATATCAACAACTCCACAAGTTACAACATCTATAATTGATCTAATTGATGATGGGAGTGAGGCGGAGCTATTTGACAGTGATATAGATGAATTAGCATGGTAATGGTAGAACTATTTTCAATGTTTTTGAAGCTGCTCATATTTTGAAGGGGTGGCTTACCCCACCATCCCGGTATGGCCATGGCCCCGGTATGGCCACGACCTACGTTAGCTGTTCAATATTTAGGTTCTATATATAGGCCTTTACCTAATATAAAAACGCTAGTATTGCTAGTGTGATTATTATGCTTCTATTAGTAGGAGAAGATTGCTCATACAAATATTTGTATGAGGAAAACTTAACCCTTAAATTAGCATTGCAAAAAGACACTAGCAATACTAGCGTTTTTATATTAGGTAAAGGCCTATATATAGAACCTAAATATTGAACAGCTAAGCCTAACGATTTTTATCCATGGAGCTATTTAAGGTTTTAGTTTTGGATGTAGAAGTACCTTTCCATACAAAGTTGTATATAAGGGTACTTATCGCTGCTTACGCCAGATCGCCGCTTACGCCACGACTTACGTTACATCAGTACCAATATCTATTGGGATAGTATCGGAGTCGCTATCCATAACGCTATCCTCATCAAAGCAGCTCTCGGAGTCTGACACATTGCTGCTAGAGAAACTTCGTGAGAGCTGGTGACGCCGCATATCCAATTAATTCAAGGGAAACGACGGCAACGACGACATTGGTGAAAAAGAGAAAGGAGACGACGCCAACGACAGAGACGTAGGAGATGTTAGGAACCTGCTCCAAAGGAACTGTATTGTGGAAGAGGAAAGAGACAGGAGCGAGCGAGGAGGGCATTAAGTATGGAGATTTGGTGGGAAGGAAAGGTAGGGTAGACATAAGGAAAGCCATCGTTAACTTAGTCACAAGGGGCTGGAGGGAACCCATATTCTGAGGGCCAAAACGGTTGCTACAAAGTCAAAGACGAGAAGCTGCTTCCTGCCTTCAACCTCGCTCTGGTTTTGGTGTTACTGTGTTAGTCACTAGGTCCGGGTCTTGCCGTCAGCGACCCGAGCGTTAGAGCAGCGTGAGATTTTGGCAACTTGGCTGCACAAAGTAGCGCCCAAAACCAGCCAAAAACAGCAGCCAGTTTGCCGCAAGGTAGTTAAAGAAGGGAGTTATAAGTCCTTTTATTTTCGCAACAATAAGTATCTGTACATAGAAATTTAGCTGCAAAAGTACATAGGGCGTTTACGCCATTAGACCGCTTAGTTACGCCACGACCTACGTTACACGTGTTCTATGTTATCACGTGCGTGGTTATGTGCGCACTTGTTTGTTTGTTTACACATGGCTTCTATGTCACGTGCATTGCCACTCCAATATTTAGTTAGACTCACTCAGCCAATTTTGATGTAGGAATTTTTATCTAAATACCTATTAATACAGTAACTGCAGTTCGTAGAACTAATAACTAATGATTTACCTGTGCCAGTAGTTAACTTATGTATAATTGTGGATGATCTAAACAGGTGGTTGTGTTGGCTTATTATAAGCGCCTAATCAAACTCATAACCGGCTCCCGCAGATTCAACGTCGGAGGTTTTTACAAGCTTATTTATTACAAGCAACCGATGTTACCTTTACAAACTTAACAGCCGAGTACATTGCCAAATTAACATTCACAAATTACAATACAATCACATAGATAGAGAAGTATGTATATAACAGGACAATCTCAAATATATTAAGTATTATGGAGTGAGTGTGCCCTAGCGGCAGATGAGAGAAACAGCCTGGGTATAGGGGTATCAACACGAGCAGAAAATGCAATGACAAAACAGACCTGATGGGAAATCAAGGTGGTATCGTGGGTATGGTAACGAGATGCGATCCAGAACGACGGAGATGTGGACTCATAAATTTATCGTTTAGGCGGTGGCGGAAACGACGGGGGTCGTGGTCTGGATTGGTGCAGCGACGACGGGCTCCTCAGCAGCGGCCTCAACGGCGGTCTCGGCGGTGGCCTCAGTTGCGGCTGGGGCCTCGGCCTCAGTCACAGCGGGCTTCTCGGCGGCCTTCGTCGAGGTCTTGTGCTTCACGGTCTGGCGGAGCTTGGCGAATGGGGAGAGGGACTTCTCAACCTTCTCTCCCTCAGCCTCGAGGGCCTTCTCGACCTTCTCCTTCTTCTGTCCAAGACCGAAAGGAAGGGCAGACTTGCGCTTGTCAGCCTTGGTGGCCTCGGCGGCGACCTCAGCAACGGGCTCTCCGGCAACAACGGCCTCAGCGGGGACGGTGGCGGGGCTGGCGATGCTGGTAGCAAGTGGCTCGGACTGCTCAACGGCAGGGATAACTGGGGCCTCGGTGCTGGTCACAACCTCATCATCCTTGGCTGGGACAGCTGGGGTAGCCTCGGAAGTAGCCTTCTTGGATCCAAAGCGGGACTTGAAATCGAAGAGGGAAGAGTGACGCTTGGATGCAGCGGGACGAGTCTCTGGGACGACAGCCTCCTCAACAACGGCGGCCTCAGCAGCAGGGGCCTCAACAGGGGCAGCAGCCTCCTCAACAACAGCCGCCTTGACTGGGGCGGTCTCAGTAACTGGCTCCTCCTCGGTGACAGCCTTGTCGGCGGCGGCGACCTCCTCCTTCTTGCTGCCCAAGTTGAATCCACCGAAGATGGAGTTTCGCTTGCGGCTGGCAGAGCGGCTTTTGGTGCGGGCCTTCTTCTCCTCCTTGGTCTCCTCCTTCTTGTCCTCGTCCTTGGTCTCCTCAGCGGCGACAGCCTTCTCCTCCTTCTTTTCCTCCACCTTGGCGGCGACAACAGCAGGCTTGCTCAAGCTGGCAAGCTGCTCCTTGTAACCCTCGCTGTCGGTGATGGCCTCGGTGCTCTCCTTGGCCTCGATGGACTTCTCCTTGAGGGCAGCGACCCAGCTGTCACGGTCGACGAGGTTGGCGGCCTGGAAAACGTGCTTCTGGCTGTTGCTGACGAAAGAGAACTCAACGGTACCATCCTCCTTGATGTCGGTGATATCGGCCTGTGAATATTTGTCAGTAGATGTCCCGAGCGCGTAAAGCACGTGAATTAATAAATCACTTACGAGGTTGATGAGGCCAACTGGGGCGCTCTTCTCTCCAGCATGCTTGCTGAAGTAGAGGAGACCCTTACCAGTCTGGGAAGCCCAGGCGGCGTTGTGGTTGCCAACCTCTGGCTTCTCGCCACGGAGGTAGTTGGAGAGGCTCTTCACCTCAACGGCATCAGTGCCGAACCAGAAGAAACGCTTCTGGAAACCAGCAAGCTTCCTGATGTGTAAATTAGTATTTTGTTAAACTTTGTGATAAAATGAGTCGATTTCGCATCATACGATCTCAATCTGCGTAATAACTTACTTGATGAAACCACCTGGTGCCTTGTAGCCGATAACGCCCTCACCGTCGAACTCCTTCTTTGGGGTCTCAACAGCGGCCTCTGGGGTGACCTCGTCGGTGGTGGCAGGAGCAATCTCGACGGGGGCGACCTCCTCGACAGGTGCGACGACAACCTCAGCAGGTGCGGCGTCGACGACGTCGACGACCTCCTCAACTGGCTTTTGGATCTCAGACATCGTGATGGTGTTTGAAGAGAATTGGATTAGAGAGATGATAAGAGCTGCCCAAGAGGAAATGGGAGTAAATCAAAGGTATTTGGTAAGGAAGAAAGGTTGGGATGAGTAGAAAAGAAAAGAATTTAGGAAGAAGTACGCGAGGGGGGGGTATTTGAATGGCGAGAGAAGGGATGGTGGATGGCGAAAGAAATGTAGCGAAGTAACGGAAGCGACGGGGTTTTATTAGATCGGCAATGATGGAGGGCTGTGAGTGGACAAGAGCAGGAGTAGTGGGCTTAGGTAGGGACGGTACTGACAGGGATTATGGAGCTGGGCCTGTCAGGCTAAGAGGTGGGAGGTGTGTGTTAGGAAATTACGAAAAAGTATATGGGGCCGGAATGGGGCAAAGTGACTCAAAGAGGAGAAAAAGATCCGAAAAGCGTAAAAAGCATACGAGGCTAGGGATGATTAGGGCCGATGTGGGACAGGAGATTGCCGGTTGAGGGATAGGGCGGATTGAGAGAAATGATACTAAACTAAATTAGTTTGAATTGAATGGAGAGGTATCCACCTGGTTAGTGCTGGTTAGTTGTTTGGTGGGATGGATTTAGTGCTGGTTAGTTGTTTGGTGGGATGGATTTAGTGGGTGGTGAGTGGTGGTCAGTGGTCAGTGAGTGAATATTTGGTGGTAGAGGTGGTCAGTGGTCAGTGAGTGAGTATTTGGTATGGTCAGTAGTCAGTGAGGGAATATTTGGTGGTCAGTGGTGGTCAGTGGTGGTCAGTGGTGGTCAGTGGTGGTCAGTGGTGGTCAGTGAGGAACTCAGTGGTTAGTGGTGATTGGTGGTCTGGTCAGTGGTCAGTGGTGGTGCCTGTGTGGTGTCAGTGCTGAGGTCTAGGACTAATCATACTAATGGCACCATGTACCCCTATTCGTGCTATACCCACTGGTACTGTCTGGTACTGTCTGGTACTGTCTGGTACTGTCTGGTACTGTCTGGTACTGTCTGGTACTGTCTGGTACTGTCTAACTGGTACTGTATAAGAGACTACGGTACCGCCGTTTTGTGCTCAGATGGCATCTGGACTGCATCATGAGTGCATCGCCGATCCATCATCCACCACCCACCACGACCACACTATCGCCACTTACCTCACATCATCACACATGACCACGAGCAACCTCATTCCCTTCGTTCTTAATTACATAAACCCGCCTCCCTCAGCTGCCCTTATCCACTCGTCCTGTACACCCCTACCGCCCACCGTTACACCGCCCTCACCCACGACGCACAGCACCCCAAGCCTGTTGGCGGCGGCACACGTGAAACAAAAAGGAATCTACAGGTACTCTTGGGCCCACCAGGATCTGCAACCTAATGAGGGACTGCGCGGAGGAGCCTTACTGTACTCTCTCACTCGCCCGAGCGACTGCCCCTTTTCTCCCAAGTTGGACATTTGCGAGGCAGAACCGTCGGCACGTTCGATGGATGCGCCGTGAGTTGATTCCTGTGACCTGTGGCACACCACAGGTATATTTCACAGCGCTGTACTCTTAACTCTACGACTGCGCTGCCCAAGGAAAAAATGTAAAACAATAACAATAAGATTTATATCTGCCTGCCTGGAGTATGTACTTTGGAAAATGCAACCCTCCCTCGGGCGCTGAGACATGTCCGACTCCTCTTAGCGGATCTCGCCAAGGCCCTATTTGGTATTTGGTCCATGCGGTCCGAGTTGCATTGCTATAGTAACCCACCGACTCCATATCTGAATTTGACTCAACTATTGCAAAAGTACTGCTAACCGGCACCTTAGTCAGCCTTCCATGACTTTGCATCTCTGTTGCAGGGCTCGATGTGAACGGAGTATGTCGGCACTTTGGTCCACTTATATCTCCTGTCACCAAACGCCCAGCCCAGGATTTACCCAGAGTAGAGTAAGTCGTCCCAATGCCTCATACTACACATATATATGTAGTAGCCTCCATACCATACCTTGAGTGCCTCTCATAGATATATCTCCTTTGCGTCCCTTGGAAAGCTCTCGCTGGGGCAGTAGGGGCACTTGAACCGCTGGCCCTTGCTCAGCCTCTGCAGACTCTCTTTGGCGACGACATGGCCGCATGGCATCATCATTGGAGGGTTTTGCTCAGTGCTCTGTTCTTTGCTGACTGGGCAGACAAATATCGCGTGGTAAGTCATCGACCTTGGCAGGGGTATTTCAACGGGAAGCTCGTGTTGCGTCGTCCACTCCGTCCGCTTCTCCTTCATGATATTCGCTAGTTTGAGTAACGTGGGGAGTGCAATGGCCCCAGCTGTGACAGAGATGTAGAGAGGTGAATCTGCAGACAGCCCAAGTAGGGAGCAGAATTCACGCGTAAACGACTGTGCAACTTCGCTCCAAGCACTGTCTGTTTCAAAGGTGAGACGATACGGCGAGTCTTGCAAGTTCGACTCAAATGCCATGGCTGCAGACAACTGCTGAATGTCGCGGAGGAAGCGAGCCTGGAACCGCCCAAAGCTTTCACGTGCATATGTAATAGCCCCGGGAAGGCCATTCCGTGAGTCGTTCGGTAGGCCGTTCACTTGAGGTCCTTGGAAGAGCCAAACGTATTGTAGCTTGGTAAGCTCGAATTCAAGGTTGCTACCTCGCTTCTCCAGTTCGGAACTATGCTCCCTGGCCCATTCAATGGCTGGCAACAGGTTCCTTTTTCGGAGATGTCCAAGTATGGCGTACATGTTGGCGAACTTCGCTTGCAGCTCCTGAGACTTCAGAGATGTAAACTCCTCTTCATCGCCATGATATGGATTCGGCGTTCCTGGGGTAGGCTTTGCTTCCGGTGGGCTCGCGTGCGCCTCTTCGATGAATGTAGACGCAACGGCGAACTGGCCTTCGCGGAGGAGATGCATGGCAATAGCCCGGTTGATAAGGGTCGGATGTGAAGCAAGAGCATCATAATCGGTCGACAGTGTTTCCGATGGAAGAGACTTCTGCGATAGGTTCTAGAAGACCAAGAGTTAGCTTGAGCATGTCCAGTGCCACGATCGGTTCCACACCTTATCCAACGCCTTTCCATATTTATTGTGCGCAGAGTATATCTTCTTGAGGTCATCTGTGACTCTATCCAGCCCCTGTTTAAATGGATTCTGCAACTTGGCAAGGGTTATAGACGCAGTGTTCGAGTCTGGAGGTCTGTCAGCGGTGTGCTGACGTAGAATGCCTGTGATGGTGCTCCTAACCTGCTGCAATTGCCTCCTGTGCATTGCACAGCTGCTCCAAGACTTTGTCGACATCCTCAATACTCTGTGATAGCGAGGCGTCTTTCTGCAGCCGGGCAAGCTCTAATTGAAGCGCTTCCATGTTGAAATGGCTACCCCACCGTCACAGTGGTTCACCTTCGTCGGGATCCTAGGGTGTCATCTACTTCGAGGGTTTGAAGAGATGATATACATGTCATCGGGCCATATGACCCTGCAATCTGAAGGGCAAGTGAGGTCCTTTGTGCAGCGTATGGTCAGAGGACAGTGATCTTCTGTATTTGATGTTGCCAGAGCCTCAGTCGTTGATGGCATGCTGGTCATCGTGGACCCGCTCTGGATCCGGGACGTCTTCCGCACTACTGGGGTCAGAGGAACCTTGGTGTCGTGCCACAGACGCCGATAAGAGGTACGTACCCCACATGCTACCCATACGTCAAATCGAGTTCGAAGCTTCCATGATCTCGCCATGCAATATCCAAACACTGAACGCCTTTCTTGTTGAGTTCGTCTACGGACCAGTTCCATACGCTGAGCTTTTGCCACACCAAAAGATCATCCATTAAAGCTAGGTGGCTTTTGTCCGTACTGTACAGGTTTCCGAAGCATTCATATCTCCGCTCCCGGACCACATGCTTGTCAATGATCCGGATAGGAGCTATTCAGCATTTGCCCTGAGCGTTCTACAACCGACAGTGGAAGGAGGGGACGTTGATATAAACGGCCTGTCACTAGGCTCACAGGAAATTTCTTCGCTGAGTACGACGAACGCCCAGACTTGGGCACACCGCCATAACCAAAAAGATGGCACCCAGTTCTTTCTTGCAATCAGACGCACGGCTGCACCGTGAAGAAGACTGGACTCTCTCCGGGACATCTTCAGTTCAGGCTAGCTCATCAAAGAGCCCTGGGCCAGCTTCTCTTGACGGCAACGCAACCTATGGCACTCCAGAAACCAATACACATCAGTCGGGATCCACTGCATCCCACCGACGATTTGTCTTTACCGACCCCATAGCGTTCAGGTTAGTCGCTCAAAGATGCGATAATATTTATGTCAACTGCTAACCCAGTAAAGATATCTCGAAGATGACTCGGCAACGGTTGTATTGGAGCGCCGGGGGGGGCTGAAAGGCTACCAGCTATACTTGGTTGAGCAATGGGCATGCTCTCGCGTTCATCCCACGTTCCTCATAACGACTTTTACAGGAGACCCTACCCATACCGTTCTAGTTGGAGTCTTGGGTGTGCCGGCCAATGAAGAAGTCTGGTCTCCACGCCTCCGGGTTTACTTCAAGGCAGTATCCCAATTCCACGCAAGGCTGAAGGATACTACTCTCGGGATGCTTATGGTCACAAATCTGAGCGGGTTCCCTTCAGCTCTGACCGTCATTCCTGTGCCAGATGGTGATATCAAAAGCCATCGGGAGGATTTTATTGTCAATGAAAATCTGAAGAGGCTGGGGTGCTCAGGACGGTCTGGTTTGAGTCTCGCTCAGCCAGTGGCCGCCACACAAGCCAAATTTCATCAACTATACAAAACAAGCGACCGGATCGACCTATACAGTGCTGTCATTGAGTTGGTAAAGCTCTGTCAAGTTGCGTTGATGATGTTTGGGAAGCTGGAGCAGGAATACGCAGATGGTTTACTTTGTGACGTTACGGAAAGGGCCATCAACGACTGGTGGACTGAATTTGGGTCTGAATATTATAATATCGAGCCAGCCGATGGCATCCTTGGTCCAACAACGGTAGCCGCCCTCATTGGCATGCTGATGGGTGCTCGGAATCGTCTGAATTACTGCGGTGCGCCTGTCGCAAAGGATGCCTTCGACATCACCAGTCTAAAACGCGGCATCGCTTCCTTTCAAAAATCTCAAAAGTTGGAGCGTACTCGCAGGCTTGATAGGCAGACTCTTGCGTGCTTACGCCGATGCACAGCAAAGGCCGCAGCTGGTGAAGGTTGGGCAGTGCCAAAGGCTGTGAAGTCCACAGTGGTCGAGCTCAGTGGAAAGGGTGGTGAGATGATGATGGGTATGGTTGGAGCGCGTGACAAAGCTGGTATTGGGGACATAGAGACCCTAGACATCGACCAATTGGTATCACTTGTTCATGGCGACCGTTCAAAATGGCTATGGTATGGGAAACAAAAGAGGAGCGGAACTGGAGACAACTTCGGGAAATCATTGCCGGAAAATGGAAATATGGTTTTCAGTCGGGATACGTCTGGCGGTTACGTATGGTCCAACAGGAAAAACGAACCCACCCCTGTTGAGGATGACGATGAGTTGCGAAGGGAGAAGACCGCAAACACCATCTATCCAGTTCGATCTCCAGGATCGGCGGTTAGCTTGTCTGAGCCCCCAAATGAGAGGGATCCGCAGATCCGCAAAACAGTGTTCAAGAGCGTGACGGGCAAAATGAATGATGCACGCTCTGGCTTTGGGCGTATAAAGGACGCTGTTGGATTAAGGGGCCATGCTAGCAGGCATTCAAAAGATGAAGGAATAGAAGGGGAGGGTTCCTATTATCTTACCCCCGGCACTGCAAACTTCGATCCCAACACTGGATCTTCCGCTACACCGGGGAACATGGGAAAGGCCTTCTCGTGGAAAGCCAAGCCTGAGGAGTATCAAGGCGGATATCGAAAGGACCAGTATCCACCATTAACGACAACTCCTTCGGCCATACCACGGGAATCGGCTAGAGTACGAGACTCGGAATCCCCTCCGAGTGACAATAAAGCCAATATTCAGCAAGGATCAGACACATCACAAGCTGACAAATTACCATCGAGGGTTGAAAAGAAGGTCACCCCACCTGTCAAGCCCGGGATTGTCAATGGCGATGTTGCCACTGCTGAACCTTCCGTCAATGGGTCCGCCAACGGTAACGCAGATCTAGATGAGCCACCCCGAGATACACAGCGCGGTCCGGACAACATGTTCCTTTACAGGCGCAGGAGCGTTGCCAATGTGGAATCTGTATACGAGCAGACCCAAAACGAGGCTCGATGGCCCCGCCATTTGTCCTTCAGCGACGTATCGGAGGCTGTTTTGAAGTGGCAAGATATAAGTGCTCCTGCAGGCAGGACAGAATATACCTTTGGCCCACGTTATGTAGCCAAGGACGAGAATAGACTACATGATAGAGTCCTAGAACTACACATCAATGTTAGCGAGTGGGTAAAATCCAAGGTTGCAAGCATCGAGGCCCTCGAAGCCCAGGCCATGGAGGACCAAGAGGAGTTTCAAAAACTATATTACGAGCTCAGCGAGAATTATCATAATATCCAAGAGAGCTCGCAGGATCTGTTGGCGGAAGAACGCGCTCGCCTTGTGGAGGGAACAAACAAAATTGAGGTGCTGGATGCCAAATTGGAATATGAGATCAATGCACTTGTGTCCAAGGTTGCAGATGTTGAAGATGGGGTCGCTCAGTTTGAGACCCAGGTTGACAATCTCGAATCTCACGCTACAGAGTTAGAGCAGCTGCTCCAGACTGAGGGATGGCTGCATTGGGCAGTTAGGACATTTACGGGGATTGGAATAGGGCCACATACGGTGGATGCATAACCAGGCGATGTAATATAGATCACTTAATGATACAGTTGACCCTTGGTTCATACTGGGGTATTTCCTTTCGGTTAGACGTATTACGGTATGACCCCTTGGTGGAAAGGGTGCGGTTTCATTGTAATAGTCCTGTGCGTGATAATCGAACATTTGGCCCCGTCCTTGGGGGTTGGGCAAATAAAAATATAATTGTATAATAATATTACTCCCGATCAAATCTATCAACCCCGACAATTAATATATGTCCGATTGCAATACCCATACAATCCTGCCACTATGCCACGATCATATAACCATCCCTCCGATATAAAAAGTATAGAGGAGCGGCGCGTAGCTCATATTGAAAGCATACTGGGTATTTATAGCATTGAAATATAGTAAAACGCACCCAATCCAGCCACCCACAAGCATTAATACCTGAACCCCGATAATACTACCAAGTTAATGCTCTGCTGTAATATTCCACACCAGTACAGGTGGCATCCACGAGCAGATGGGTCAAAATAAACATAATCGGAGGAGTAAATGAAGCTTGACAATGTCATAATTTTTACATATAGTTGTACAATAGTGCTGGGATCCGAGAGAACACTCCCCGAGACCCCCCACAATCCAAGACGTACAAGCCCTGGAGGAGACATATATCCCCTGCCTCCAAAGGCGTCAATCCCAAAAGCCGAAGTAACCAGATCACCCCGATTGCCCATAAGCCCTTGTCATGCTGCCATATCCTATTCTTACATTCCACCAAAGCCCATTCCTCCCGGTCCCTGACCACCACCAGCACCCTTTGCCTGTGCCTCCGCTTGTAGGATCTCCGAGACCTTCATCTGGACATCGAAAAATTTCGCGGCGCACCTGTCGATGCAGACACCCTCGCCCTTGTTCAGCTCGCCCTCGCGGTAGTCGTTGGGTATGCACTTCTTCATGCATGCGCGCGAGAGTCTGGATATGTAGTTAGTAAAGGGGTCATCAAATTAGGCAATGGGTAGTGTGCTGCTGGGACAGGACGCACTTGCTGAACATGTCTGTGACGAGGTCCATCTCCTGCTCGGCGGCAGCGATCTTCTCCGCCGACGACGGCTGCGGCCTTCCGATTCCGAACATAGACATCTTGAAAAGCGAAGGAGTAGTCTGGGGATTTGATATTGTGTGTAGAAGCGTGTCGGCGAGGCTGTGACTTGACGTTGATGATGTTCAGGCTGGCCATACGCAACTTTATTAGCTCCCGATAATAATTGCGCCAAGACCCGGAACCTGGAAGCTTGAACCGAGCCGCTAAAAATCAGAGCTTCAAATAAAACATTTCTCCACGAATATCCAACTCTTTCAATTGAATATTTCTACAATCACCTCGCAATGATTTAAAACTAATCTAGGTATGTTGTTAAAGTTTTTTCTTCAATTCTCCCGCCAATTCAATATGATGAACCATTTATAACATTAGAACCGTTGCGACTGACACCTCACGGTGGTTGATCTCACATCTCAATTCCTGATATTTTGCTACAATTTTGCCTACAATTAGTCCATTCAAGACTTGAAAGTGCTCTGCTAACAAACACTTTTCTACAACAGGATGACTGCCAGACCATTGCTCAAGTTGTTGTATCCGCGGACGCACAGGGACCTGTCCTTCGTGACGAAGGATGCCTACATATTATTTTACTCCACAGGGAGGAACCTGACTGGACTCTCACGGACACCAAGCCGCGCCTCGGGCTGGTCTACATGCACATATAGCACCAAGGCTGGTGCACCCACAGAAGAAAGTAATGGAGCCTTAATTGGCAAAAAAAGCGATGATTTTCAGCAGCGCCTGAAGGAGCTCCAAAATGCACATGCCCTAAAATACCCACGAATCCAGCCAGATAGAAATGCAGTTAGTTGTGCAGAGTTTAAGAAACGATATGCCGTGCTGAATCCCGAAGAATCAAGAGATAGTGACAATGTGACCCTTCGCGGTATGTTGAGTCGTCGTAGCACCTGTGTCCATCATGACTGATTGATTGTATTAGGGAGGTTATACTCCTCGCGAATTGCGGGCACCAAGCTCGCATTCCTCGATGTTGTCCAGGACGGGAACCGAGTCCAAGGGTTGGTGAATCTGCGTCGTCTTCAGACTGAGGATGACGTCCAGGCAGAGCAGTTTAAGGACTTCTACCACCTTGCCAGACGAGGAGATATAGTTGGTAGGCTGCTTGATAACCCCCATCTTTTTGCATCTAATAACAAATTCCATAAGAGATAACAGGTGTGCCCACTCGCACCAAGAGAGGTGAACTATCTATCAATGCCACGAAACTCCCCGTCATCCTCACACCTGCTCTGGCCAGCTTACCAAGCACCCTCGACGACCCGGAAACACGCATCAGGAATAGGCACGCAGATATTCTGGTCAACCAGAAAGTTGCGGATACATTAAAACTCCGCTCCCACATCGTTCAGTATCTGCGCAATTTCCTCATATCAGACGATTTCCTCGAGGTCCAGACACCAATCATTGCCGAAGATGCTGGCGGAGCAATTGCACGCCCTTTCAACACGGTAGCCACGGAATTCTCAACAAAGACCCTCTCACTTCGAATTGCGCCTGAGATATGGCTCAAGAGGCTGATACTGGGTGGAATGGACCGCGTGTTTGAGATTGGCCCTGCCTTCCGAAACGAAGGTCTCGATGCAACGCACAACCCTGAGTTCACAACCTGTGAATTCTACAAGTCTTTTGCCGATCTGGTGGAGCTTATCAAAATGACCGAGGACCTGTTTTCGGGGCTTGCCAGCCACGTGAATGAACTCATATCGTCAAAACTCACCTCATTGGACCCGCTGAACACGAACTTGTTCACAACCCCGTTTCAACGGATCGAGTTCATCCCTGACTTGGAGCAGCGAATCGGACGCAAACTCCCAGACCTCGAAGCCGACAATGCAGCAGAATCAGTTGCCTCCCTATTTTCCGAACTTTCCCAACCTCTCCCCTTATCTCCCACCCTCCCCCGAATGCTCGACAAGCTCGCATCTATATACCTCGAGCCCTCCTGCGACTCCCCGACGTTTATAATACACCACCCCGCATGCATGGCGCCCCTCGCAAAGTCCTTCCGCGACCCATCCACCAACCAGCTCGTATCCGCTCGCGTCGAGCTGTTCGTGCAACACAAGGAGTTGGCCAACATGTATGAGGAGGAGAACTCGCCGTTCGAACAGCGCCGGAAGTTTGTTCAGCAGGTGCAGTGGAAGGATGAGGAGAATGAGGCTGTTATCGATGAGAGTTATTTGGAGGCGCTGGAGTGGGGGTTGCCGCCTACGGGTGGGTGGGGTTGCGGGATTGATAGATTGTGTATGTTGATGTCGGGAGCGACGCGTATTAGCGATGTTCTTGCGTTTGGGAGCCTGAAGAATGTTGTGGGTCTTGGGAAGGATTCATACAAGAGCTGATTTGGGATATCCTGTGTAGATTACTGTAACAATATGTATATGTAGAACAAGTTAATGGATATTATACAATTCAAAGATCCCTAATGGTGCAAGTGCCCACGCATAGTAACTAAAACGCCCATGAAATCTAATAACTTCCATGTCATCCGATTTAAACTGCACGAGCTGAAGACATGCGTCATATGTGGCGACCTTTCCCTTATCCAGGAGCCACTTCATATAAAAACTGATGTGCCGCAAATCATTGGTAAATGGAACCTATGAGTTCCTCCCGCCTTTACTTATCATTTCCAGCATCAGTAGCACCGGCCATATCTTCGTCACCATCGTTTTCATCCTTGGCCCTCTTACTACTAGTCTGAATCTCTTCATCGGCCTCCCTCTTTGGGGTTGAAGGCTTCTCTTCAGTTTCCTCGCCCTCAAAGGCTTCAACTTTCCTCCCAACCGCAGCTTCAACATCGATGCCCTGTATGCCATGTCGCAGATTATTCCCCGGACCTTGAGGTCCCATGTCCTCCATGCCAATCTCCTCAGGGCCACGGGCATGCGGCGTCTCATCTTCTTCGCCATCGCCATTGGGATGCGGCTGCATGTGGGCGAGTTGAGTTGCGGGTACTACCCCCGCGCGCTGTTCTTGCCGCAAGAGCTCTCCTTGCGTAACACCCCCACCAGCCCGCAGTCCACTATCATTGCTGTTGCTGTCACCAACAGCAGCCAGCGTGGTTGATGAAACGCCATTCACCGACACAGACACCGTTTCGATGCTACCAGCTCCATTCGGGCCATCAATAGTCTCCGTCCCTTCCGTCTTGACCTCGCCTTCCATGTCGGAAGCTGCAGCCTCTCTACTGGCAGCCGAAATAGATTTGATCCATGAGATTGGAGTGAGCAGAGCACCCCCCAAGCTTTCGTCGCTGCCGAGGTTGGGCTGGACTTGTGTTGTATTACCCCAGGATACTGATTCCGGGTCGGGACCGCTGGATATTCCATTGGTAAGGATCTTGGCGCCATTGGCATTGGGAACTGGTGTTGGTAGGGGGTATAAATGCGCGCCGGATGTGACGTGAACGACGCGATCGAACGCGTGCAGATATGCAGGAAGGCTCCGATAATGGAGTTTTGGTTGTAAGATGAGCTCCGACAGCCGCTGGATCGTATGGGGAGGATATGACGTAAAGTGAGTGTTGAGTGTCGCAACTATAGAACTGAGTAGGGAGTCGAGTTGAGGATGGAGGGAGCCAGGCGCATTGGTTGAGGTGTTGGAGGTGCTGGTATTCTGCGTGGGCGTTGGGGTGATGTACTCCTTGTCTGCCGACTGAGCCAAGTCTGCCACACTCTGACTCGAGTTATCGGCTGATGGCGACGGCGCTGTTTTTTGTGACTGTATGGTATTGGGGGAGGCTGTAACACTCGATGGCGAGCGAGGCGCTGAGGGGACTGGGAACTCGTTTGGAATGACCTGCAACGGTAGAGCATCAGCCAATGAAGACTTCAAGTATGCCGCGACATCATATAATACAGGACACGCATTGTACATACCTTCTCTACCCTATATATGAGGCGGGAAACCAGAGCTGGCCACACGGCACTGAGGGCGACGTTAGGAACGCGACCAGTAAAGTGGCGAGGCAGAGGCCGAGGCACGCTTACTAGTCTATCTGTGCGCCGGACGAGCATATCTTCAAGAAGGCAATATCATCCTCAGTCAAATCCATGGCGTCCATGGCGTTTTGAAGCAGTGGCTGGAGACGGAAGTGCAGGTGTTGGCAAGGCGCAAGGCGGTGGGAGTCTACGGGCAAGGCAAGTAAGAGTACAGTATGTTTCTCTCAGCCTTGTGGGAGCCTCAATAGCTGGACGGACCTCCCACAAGGCTACGTACCGTGTTGAACAAACACGCGCTAGTAAAAGTTTGTTGTGTTTGCACTTGTCCAATTTCCCCTTTCAGATTCGCTTAGCTCGCGTCAGGGACCTCCTTCCTGGGTATAAATATCCAGCTTCCCCCCTTCCAAAAACCTCTTCTTTTCTTCTTCATACTTACCTTGTGATGGCCAGGATGCTCATGAATATCCTCGGCCCTAATGCGAGAGCTCCATTGCACATCGGGGACTCGAGCATCGGCCAATATCCTTCGGGGTCTTGGATCGCGGAATTTTTGATTGCACTCCCTATGGGAACCTTTTCATTGAGAACATGGCCTGGCGCCTTGGCTTGAGGAAGAGAGGTATAATGGTGAGGCTTTATGGATTGGAAGGACTTACTCTACTCTCTATCTGTACTATCTACTATCTCTATCTCTACTATCTCTACCTCTACTACCTACTACCTCTACTACCTCTACTACCTCTACCTCTACTACCTCTACCTCTACTACCTCTACTACCTCTACCTCTACTACCTCTACCTCTACTACCTCTACCTCTACTACCTCTACTACCTCTACCTCTACTACCTCTACTACCTCTACTATCTCTACTACCTCTACCTCTACTACCTCTACTACCTCTACTACCTCTACTATCTCTACTATCTCTACTATCTCTACTATCTCTACTACCTCTACTAGATTACTAAAGAATAGAATAGATTACTAAAGAATAGATTGCTGGAGTATTCGTATTGTATGGTACACTTAACACTGAATGCCATGATGCCCATAGTAGAGAATGTCATTGCCAGCAGTAGTAAATACCATCATGCCACAGCCTCTTCAGCGTAAGAACCACTGACCGAGAGCACAAGGAGTGTTATAATGCCCACAGTAACCGCCGAGTTATTGTCAGCCGTCTGGACCGTGAGAGCTGCAACCCCGAGATCTGCAAGCCCATCATGGTATGGCTGTGGACGGCGGTGAACCTGAACCCCCTTATTTGTCAAGCCACACAGCCTCTTACCATCCTCCGCCCTGAGCCACACTTTTGATAGTCCCCACCAAACGAACTACGGTACCCTTCATCACAATCTTTATTTGTCCACTCCCTTGCTACTTCTACCAAACTTCATTCAGCTCTTTCCTTCCTCTTTATACCCCATACAACTCCTGTCTTGTCACCTTCTCTTTTTATCGCCCGCATTACGCATTACGAGAAATCGCCCGCTTGCTCCATCGATTCTTTCGTAACACACGACAACCATCTGCGTTTCATCCTCGACCGTCCCATGTAGGGCCATATGCACCCATTGCACCAAGCAACGGAAAAGCCCACACATACACGACTTACTTGTCGACAATATTCAAGCCAACACAACAAACAACCCTTCATTGACATCGACGAAATAATCGCATCATCCACCGATTCCATCTCATCTACCCTATACCTACCTATCAGCCAGGAGCTCTCTCGTAGAGCCCCGTCACCGGCGAAGTGGCCTACCGAGCGGAGCCTCAAAACTCTCTCCTCGCAGAAGAGTTAGCATACACGCCTTATATTGGCCACCGCCAGCGCCGTAGAGTCTCTGCTCGCGGCTACACGCCCGATTTCCGAGGCAACATGTATATGCCGAACACGACGTGGACATGGGCCTTCATGGTGGTAACAATTGTTCAGGCCGCGGTGGTCCTGGGCTTGGAGTCGTAAGTCTTTGTGAGGAGTGTTGGGTGGTTTGCTGAGGTTCTGACTGACCTTCCAATGTAGTTATATTTTCGCAAAATTTCAGACGGCACTTGCTCCAAATCTACCATCAGTACCCAAAGTTAAAGTCATACCGACCTATCTCACACTCTTTATTTTCGCTTTCATCTATCAACTGGTCCTTGTCTACGACTCCCTGCGGTTGAAGAACACTATCCAAGTCATCGGACTTTGTCTGTATAACTTGGGAATCTTGATTTACTCCTCCGTGCAGGTTAGCCAGATCAAGGACGCCGTCTGGGATCTGTATCTGTCCAGCCCAAGTTACCTCCCTGAAGGCCAGTTACTATGGCCCGTTATACACCCCTACCTGGTTGCAGTCCCGGTCATAATTGGGTTGGGAACAGCAGTAATGTCAGCTATTGCCTACAAGCTGTACGGCGAATTTGCCTGGACCATCTATAAGCATATCAGTGCGGATCTTCGCATGAAGAGACGATTCTTGACATTCCAGGTACGGAAACATACTTTCTAGCCATAATTTGTCCATCGAACTGACGCATGGCAGATTTACATCGCACTCCTGAAGTTTGATTTCTTCTTCTTCCTTGGATTTACTGTACAGTTTCTCGTCATTGTCTCGAGCAGCCAAAACGTGGAATTCTACCTAACCATTGCCGCGATTCCGATTACTATCCTCATTCTCGCCATGGCTGCTATCTGGACCCGCCGAGAGATCAAAATCGGCATGATTATCAACATCTTGCTATATTTCGCCGCACTCGCGTATTTCCTCTTTAAGTTGGTACGCATATATCAACCTAGTCGTCAGGCCCAGTACCGCCCAGCCCGCACATCCCTCACCATTTTTGCGGTCTTGACTATTATACTCATTCTGTTGACAATCACCAACGCATGTGTTTGCATGCACAACTTCGACAAAGGCCTCAAGCCGTTTGTGACGAGGAGGAAGATCATCGGAGGAGACGAAAAGACGGACAATTTCACAGAGCTTCCTGACATGAAGCACGGAGGGCCGGTAGCACCACAGCCGAGCAGAATGACGATTGACTAGGCGGAGATTTGGGACACGCATGGTGTTTCTGGGTGTTGACTGTGTATTGCACGAATCGCAGTTTTCTTTTGTTTTAGATCTTCGCGTCCTGGGCCACTGTGGCATATCATGGCGTTCATACCCTGGGCGTTGGAAGATTCGTGATAGTTTTCAGTCTTGCGGGACGGCATAGCGCGCCGGAGAATTTGAGAATTTGCTAGCTGATCCTGGGAGGGGGAGCAAGGATTGGAATACTCGTGTGTAGGCTCATGAATAGCTACTGTCTATTGGAATTTGACGAGCACGAATGCATGTTGATTTGAAATTTATAATTATATTTATCCCCTTGAATAGTTGTCCCTATTACCCTGCCGTACATACTTTATTAGAAATGACATCCGGGTCATGTTCAGGCCGATACCCTAAATACGCCGTAATATCCATCCTGTCCATAAATTATAAATGCAAGTCCCCACCGCCATTATTGAAATTGAACCCCCCTCCTGACTTCTTCTTTTCCTGCTTTGCCCAGCGCAGACCACATGCATTGCACAGCGTTTTTGGTCCCTCAGGGCCTTTGCGCCATTCCGGCGAGTCGAGGGTACCTGATAAGTCAGTTAGTTCAAAATGGGATCCACACGGTCCAATTCTTAATATGTGCATACCACAATCCGTACAGACATATTTGTCTGCAGTTTTGAGTTTCTTCTTCTTGTCCACGCTCCTGCCGTTCTTATCTACTGGTAGATTGGCGCCTGAATCTCCACGAATAAGTGTGGGAGAGGCATCGCCGGTGCTAATGCCCTGGCTGCGTTCTCCGTCTTGGTAGCGGAGCCCGGTTAACATTTCGATAGTATCGATGTTCGTTGCTCCCCCATAGAGTACTGCCTTTTCTTCTGTAGAGTCTAGTTTGCAGTTTGAATTTGCATCTTCATGACCTTGCCGTGTGTGGGCGGAGTTTGTCGATGGCCCCTGGCCTGGAGGCGGCATGTCAAGAAGTTCAGTGCTAGAAGAATGGCCCATCCCACCCGACATGGCTGCGTTGCTTTCCTGTGAAGAATATTGCTCCCAAGGCCCTTCATGTTCTTTCTTCCATTGAGGTTGATAATCGTCTTGCTCTTCTGCGTCTTCGCGCCGTAGGGACTCGATCTTCTTCATGAGGCGCTCATTCTCAATTTTGTGTTCAAGGAAGGAGTCCAGGAGAGCGGCATTTTTGGATGGGTATGGACGCGACATCATGAAGAAACCGCTGCAAGGGGCCGATGAGTTATTTTGACTGGAAGACGTAGCTCCGCTGGTTAAATGTGGCTGGCCATGACATTCAAGAACTGCGTATTCACCGCCGGTTTGTTTGCGGAACCGGTAGAAAACCCGTAGAACATCTCCGCTTGTGACGGAGTTGTTAAATTCGCGGACGAACATGGAACGGTCGTCTGGATGTACGAAGTCTACTATCGATTTACCTATTATCTCCTCTGGGGTATATCCTGTCAGTTGCTTGACGCCGTCTGAAATATAGAGCACGCGACCATCCGGAGCTAGGATGTGAATGAGATCTTTCAACTCTTCTACGATCTGCTGCATCCAAGTTCGACTTTTGGTGAATCCGTTGCCTACGGTGCTTCCTGCTTGAGAGGATTGCGTTGCAAAGTACGTGGATGAGACGCCGGCGCCTGTCACGTTTATTGCGTTCTCATTGTAGGTTTGTGGAGCACTGGTTTCATCTGAAGCCTTGTTACTTTTTGGCACTCATATTCAAGGGGAAAGCACCCCTTACCATCTTGGTTTGCTTGGACACCTAGGTCTACAAGGCGAAGATCTCCGGATTCAAAAATAGGGATATCTCCAAGGCCATGGACGTGGTCCTCTTCAAGCGTATCGGTCATGGGCTGTTCATTGATCATCTAAAAGGGTAATTAGTGTCTGCTAAAGTTTTGAACGCGAAGTTCCCTTTCGGCGCCCTGAATACCCACACATAACTCTCTATCATCTTGGCTTCCATAGTACATGGTCGAATCATTAGCCAGGATAGCTATGGCTGGCGGTGTTTCTGGCGGCATTTTGGGTTGTGAACCCGCACAAGAGTTGACTTAAATATTACCAAACCCCAGAATCACCTGGGGGCATTTCACAAATAAAACATGCTATAACTTATACATCTATGTTATAGTAAGAATCACCGACATCTGTCAACCCTTGGGAAGTTAGGCTGGAACCTCACCTTGAGACCAACCCCCCACCTCGCGTTAATATATCACGTGATGTCGCGTTCCGTCTCACCCTTGCATACATTTATGTACGTACTATATGGTATCAAAGGGCGTCCGTTCGTTGACTTCGCAATATCGGCCTCCATGTCCCCCAACAACAAATATTCTATGGGCATGTAACATAGCTACTGTGGTGGCAGAACTGCCAAATAAACAAGATGTGAAGCTTACCCTCTCCTAGATAGCTGAAGACGTCGCGCTAATAGTGGATTACAGGTGTATGTACATACAGCTTCTGGGCCAGCCTTCCAGGCAGCTAACTAGTTTATTATAGCAAAAATCGATAAGTTGTCCATCCTTGGGTATATATTGCGGACCTCCCATGATGCCAGTAGCTGACCCATATTGACAGGGTGAGATCTTTCGACAACATACGCAGCGAGACGATACAGTTCCACACGCCATTAACGCTCATCGTGGGGTACAATGGCTCAGGAAAGACGACAATTATTGAGTGTCTCAAGTACGCTACAACGGGACAACTACCTCCGAACAGCAAAGGCGGAGCTTTCATTCACGACCCCAAGCTCTGTGGTGAGAAGGAGGTTCTTGCACAAGTCAAATTATCCTTCAAGGGCACACAAGGCGCCAGGCTGGTCGTCACTCGAAGTTTACAACTCACGGTCAAGAAGACGACGAGATCACAGAAAACCTTGGAGGGCCAGCTGTTGATGATTAAGGATGGCGAGCGAACTACGATATCTTCTCGGGTTGCGGAGTTGGACCAGATTATGCCCCAGTATTTGGGAGTATCTGAGGCCATTCTGGATTCCGTGATATTCTGTCACCAAGACGAGTCATTATGGCCCATGAGCGAGCCTTCGGTGCTCAAGAGGAAGTTCGACGAGATTTTCGAAGCTCTGAAGTACACCAAAGCGATAGAGAATATAAAGACCGTCAGAAAGAACCAAGGCATCGCGTTGGCAAAGCACAAGATGTTCGAGGATCAGTACAAGACGGAGAAGGACAGAGGTGAAAGGGCAGAGAAAAAGTCCATTCAGCTTCAAGATGAAATCGAGAAGTTACGCACTGAAAGCGAGCACCTTACGAGAGACATGCAAGTTGCACTGGACAGCGCAAGGGAGAACACCAAGCAAGCTCAGGAGTTCCAAGGCATTGTTAACGAATTGAAAAACAAGCGTTATCAAGCTGAACGTCGCCGCGAGGACGTTGATGACTTGAAAGACAACCTCACAGAGCTCCAAGAGTCAGATCAGAAACTTGAGGACATGCTTGCACGGTCCGAAGATACCATGGAAACGAACAGAGCCGAAGAGCAAAGCTACCAGGAAAGTTATGCTGAGCTTCGGAAGGAGCTTGGACTCTGCAGACAGAAACAGGCTGGGAGACTTGCCGAACAAGGGCAGTACAAGGCAGAAAAGGAGAACTATGACCGTCAGATTACGGATCGTGAGAAACTGGTAAAAGAAGCTGCACGAAAACATCAGGTCCGAGGATACGAAGGAGATATCGATGATGGTCTAATAAACAGCTTTATTGACCGGATGGGAAAGCTTGCCAAGGATAAAAGTCGAGAGCTAGAACGCATCCAACAATCCTTGGAAGATGACCTTCGTGAGGCGCAATCAATTTTGACTAGTTTACAGAGTCGTCGCTCAGCATGCACGCAAGATAAAGTTAATGCCAGGCAATTGGTCACCGACAACAATAAACGCATTGTCAGCATGCAAGACAGTATCGGAAACATCCAAATTGATGAAGGAGAAAAGGCTAAATTAGAATCAACCCTTAGCGAACTCCGAGAGAAGCTAAACAAGTCCACCAACGACGCAGAGCAATCTGGGTGGGATAAGCTTCTTCAGTCGGAGAACTCGAAGCTTCGAGATTTAGAAGTTGAGAGATCGAGGTTGAATGACCAACTCGTGCAGTCTAGCCGTATGGCAGAAGACCGTGCCCAGCTCGACTACTATAGAAAGGAGCTCAAGGACCGCCAGCGAAGCCTTGACACCATGAAAGCCACATATGGGGACAAGCTGTCCTCTATTGTTGGTGACGATTGGAAGGCCACTACTTTGGCCGCGGACTTCCAGGATGCACTGGACCAGAAGACCTCCGCCACACAAGAAGCACAGATCCAGCGTGATGTTACTGTCCAGGAAATGCAACAAGTGGAATTTAAGCTACTGACTGCCCGAGACTCCCGGAAGCGAAAGCTCGAGGAAATGAAGTCTTGTGAAAAGGCTGTGCTTAACTCAATTCTGAGTCCCGAGGGCCAGGCTTTGCCAACCATAGAAGACTATCTACCAGAGCTTTCAAAGCTGGAGAGTGATCGTGATCTCATCAAGTCGGATATCGATAACTTCACTCACTTGAACAAGTTCTGGTCTGGGTGCATAGAGACCGCCGAGCGGGAAAATCAATGCCATCTTTGCGATCGGAAGTTCCAGCCAGGAGAAAAGTCTGCGACCATATCAAAGCTAAGAAGCAAGCTCGCCAAAGATGCGAGAGAGACTCTGACGGTGGAATTAAAAGAGATGGAGGATATGTGCGGTGATGCCCAGGCTGTTCGCTCGCAGTATGAGACGCACGTACGGCTTAGTACAGCGGAACTTCCAGCCCTCGAGAAAGATATCAAAAAGCTTGACGATCAACGCAGCACTCTGATTAAGCGCCTGGAGGGACAAGATAACTCCGTGCGTGAGGAGGAGTCCGCAAAACTAGACATTGAATCTCTTGCCAAGTCGGTCAGCACCATTGTCAGATACGTGACAGATATCACTGGGTTCGAGGAACAAATTGCTTCGATTGCATCACAACAGAAGTTGTCAGGCAGCCATCTCAGCGTCAATGATATCCAAAGCCAACAGGAAATATGCAACAAGAAGTCCGACGAGCTTAAATCACAAATTGCCAAGCTTGTGAAGGAGAAGGACGAATCCCGATCTCGTATCAACTTGCTAGAGCTCGACCTGCGTGATGCGGGAAGTAAAATGGTCGAGGCCAATCACCAGATGCAGAGGAAAGAAGAACTATTACAGCGAATACAGGAGATGAAAGAAGTCAATGCTGGACAACAGGAAGCAATAAATCGAGCTGATAGCAGTCTCAAATCACTCGAACCAGAAATAAAGAATGCCGAAGCTAAGCTCACGAATATTCGGAATGAGGGAAAAACCAAAGAAAAGGCTGTCGGAGACGAATCCTTCAAGATATCCGAAACAGTGAACAAGCTCAGACTTGCAGACAAGGCCATACGAGACTACATTGATGATGATGGCCCAGGCAAGCTGAAAGCATGCGAGCAGTCGATTATTGACCTGGAACGGGAAATATCGCGGATTGACGCTGAGATATCAGATGTTACCGAGAAAGCCAACGCCATAAAAGAGCAGATCGACAACAGTGAAAGGATCAAGAGAAATATATCGGACAACATCAAATACCGCAAGTTCAAGCGGGCTCTGGATGTATTGAATGCCGAGATTGTGGAACTTGAGTTGCGGAATGCCAATGAAGATCTCTTACGACTCAGCCGTGAGGCAGAAAAGCAGAACATGAGGCATCAAAAACTGTTGGCAAACCGTGGTCCAATTCTCGGTGCCATGAGAGCAAAGGATGATGAACTGCGTGGCATTCTTCTTGATTGGGAGACTGAGTATAAGGATGCAGCCAAGAATTATCGAGAGTCTCACATTAAGGTCGAGATCACCAAGGCAGCTATCGAGGATCTGGCTCGCTATGGAACTGCTTTGGACCAGGCGATTATGAAGTACCACAGCCTGAAGATGGAGGAGATCAACCGCATCGCCGGAGAGCTCTGGCAAAGTACATATCAGGGTACTGATGTCGACACAATTCTCATCCGCTCTGACGCAGAGAATGCAGCTGGAAGGAGTAATTATAACTATCGAGTCTGCATGGTGAAGCAGGATGCCGAAATGGACATGAGAGGCCGATGTAGCGCTGGGCAGCGAGTATTGGCCAGTATCATTATTCGGCTTGCCCTCGCAGAATGTTTCGGCGTCAATTGCGGGGTATGTAAACATCTGTCCCAAAGAACAGCAGAAGCTAACTGTTATTCATAGCTCATAGCATTGGATGAGCCTACCACTAACCTGGACCGCGACAATATTCGTAGTCTTGCAGAGTCTCTCCACGGTATCATCCGAACTCGACAGGCACAGTCCAACTTCCAGCTCATTGTCATTACTCACGATGAAGAATTCTTGCGATATATGAAGTGTGCTGATTTTTGCGATCACTACTATCGTATTAGTAGGGACGATAAGCAGAAGAGCATCATTGAGAGGCAAACAATCACCGAGGTCATATAGAAATTGGCCAGCAGTTATATTGCTATCTTAGAGGAGCGTCATAATAATAAGCTACTTTCTGGCCAAATATTGTTGAACTACTGCAGACAAACTATACCACATCTTATAAACGTATGAAATAAACGATCAAATTTAAACTCCTCCACTTATACTCTGACTGAACTGCAACAAAACATGTTCCGCCGTTCTCGACAGTGCCAATATTGTCTCCGGTAGACTGTTGCCTGTATCCACTAGAGGAATAACCCGGCTCCCGTCCTATTCCATCTCATGTTACTTAGCCCATTCTCGTAAAGAAGGACTGGTTGACGCTCGATTGTTCCGCGGCACTACCCACTGGGCAGCTACCTCGCATTTTTGGATGCTGAGGTCTGCAACACCACCCTGACCATCTGCTCCATCTCCATATACAGGCGAGTAAATGTTGACCGATGGCCATACCGCTGTTTTTACCAACCACGTCCTATCCTTCAAAATCTCAGTGGCAGGTAACTCCTCTACATTCGCGCTTTTTTGTTTAAGAACCCCATTCTTTATCTCCTGCCCGAGCCTATCATATTGAAGTTTCAAGATCTTGGCCTTGTTCGTGCAGTATTCGTCATAATTAGCACATACATGGAGATCCTCCTTGAACTCATCGCCAAGCTCCGACATACGGAGTATGATGGGATCGGGGTGAAGTCGCCGGCAGATTGATAGCCAAGCTGTGCCACTGACCATATCAAACAGTGCAGCGAATTGTTCCTCGCGAGTTGGTATTGACACTTCCAAGTTATGCTTAATCCTATATTTCTCTAGGTAGGCGGAAATAGGGTTGAGCAGACCAAAAATGTTCAGTGAGAGCAATTCCACTTCGTCGTAGAAGTCCGTGGGTAATACTGCGCCGTCAAGAACTTCCCGGATAGCCCTGCTGCGAGTTTTTGTGCGCGCAAATCCTAATAAACGTCAGCTTCGATGGAATAAACCTCAGTTGGGGAGTGAGACATACCATCATGCGAGTTTTTTTCAGCCATGTCCGTTTCGAGTGCATTTAGCATGGTGGCTTGATTTGGTGTGCATCCAAATAAAAGGGGGCTGAACACTTTATCAACGAAGATGCGTGCAATAATGCCCATTATCATCATGCATCGTTTCCTCTCGTAGTAGAGCAACGAGTCCCAGCTCTTGGCGTCATCAGGGTCAACATCCTGCACTAGTTCCGCCAGACTTACGAAGAGAGGTGAGACATTCATTTCGTTCCAAGGGCGCTTCCCCTCAAGCTCGTCAGGTTTGATATTGAATCCCCCGAAGTTTTCAACAACAAAGCTAGTGGTAATTTTATTGGCCTCGGTGAACAAATGATCGAAGAACTCATCGGATTGGGGGCCATCCGTATGACGCGGGGGTTCAAGGAGTCGGACCACAAAGTTTTCATCTGCAGCCATGACTATATTCCCGGGGCGTCCTTTAACATGTCTGATTTGAGAGGGGGGAAGATGTGAATAGGGTCCTTTTTTTGGAGGCTTTGGCCTTTCGCCCCGACAACGTAGATCATCGATCTGTTGTTGAAGCAAGTCCTGGTCTTTTTTCCCAAATCTGGTCTGGTTAGTAGGCTGATTTGACATGACCATTTACTATCTGTTACAGCGTTGGTACACTTACTTCCTGTCAAGCATGGTAAATGGTACATTTCCTATTCGCACTCCTTTCTCCTGGGGGGTCACTTGCGGTGGCGGACTGTGAACTGGGGGTGTAATCGGGCGACTTATGCCAGCTCCCCCTCCAGGCGGCGGCAGTAGCGGGCTGTTGTCTGGCGTTGTGACCGGGCCACTTCTGGTACCTCCCCTTCCAGGCGGCGGCAGTGGCGGGCTGTTGTCTGGCGGTGTAATCGGGCTACGTCTGGTACCTCCCCTTCCAGGCGGCGGAAGTGGCGGGCTGTTGTCTGGGGGTGTATTCGGGCTACTTCTGGGACTTTCATCCGAAGGTGTAGTTAGAGGGCCTGGGGCGATTTGTTCTCCAGGCGGCGGTGGCTCAATAGGGGCAGGAGGGTTGATACCCCGGCGACCGGGCAGACCATTGGGGGGGGTGCTCATTTTGAAATATGAAAATGCAAGTCTGAAGTTTGTGTTTTTTCTGCCAACTGTATTGGAATGAATCGAGAAGGGGGTGCTGGACGACGTGGGATATAATGATCAGGCAAAGAATATTTCTATATGATTATAGAAATGAGGAAACAAAGAAATTGCTCCTACCGTATTCTACCTACGTATGGATACAGACCAACAGACGGCTTCGGTCGTCGTCATCGTCGCCCTTTGTCATAAGAGAGGAGAAAAGCCACGGCGACGCAAGCGGATGTCTAGCATACATAACCAGGCCCTTAGTTGCTCTTTGAACAAATGCTCGTTGTGAAGTGATGGTGATGCTACGAGCGAGCATGTTGAGGAAGCGACGGCTCGTCTCCAAGCCAAGAAGTACGTACCGTCGTACCCCGCATGCATTCTGGATTCGGTTGTTTTGGTGGAGTGCAACCCGGGTACCGTGACATATGCTATGCCGAGGTACACTACGGCTTTCTATTATTTAACAACCGTAGCTATAGTAGCTTGAGTAGCCCAAGGTGAGGTTTGGTGATCTTGTACTTGAATCTATAGACAATTTTATATTTATTCACCATTCAGCCGCAAAAGACGATGTCTAGTCTTCCAGTTGCGCCGCCGGCGAACTATGCCGATGTCCCATACACGCAGATTCGCGTCTCCCACGTCCCAGCAAGCTCTCCAACTCCCACTCCCGTCATTCTCATCACTCTCTACCGACCTGCAAAGTACAATGCCTACACAGAGGTTATGACACGGGAAATGAACAATGCCTTCGCCATTCTTTCCGCAGATGACCGTGTCAAGTCCATCGTCGTGACCGGCCACGGCAAGATGTTCTGTGCTGGCGCAGACCTTGACATTGGCTTCGAATTCGGCGATGACACCGACAGGACGCACCGTGATGGAGGTGGCATCATATCCCTATCCATCTTCCGTTGCACGAAGCCCGTGATTGCTGCTATTAATGGGTCGGCTGTTGGCGTTGGGATCACCATGACGCTCCCCATGAGCATCCGTATTGTTAGCAACAAGGCCAAGATTGGGTTCGTTTTCGCCCGTCGCGGCCTGGTCATAGAAGCAGTCTCGGCTTTCTTCCTCCCACGTCTTCTCGGGTACAGCAAGGCTATGCACGTTGTTACTACGGGCGACGTCTACCCGTCCACCTCGCCGTTGCTCGACGGCCTCTTTTCTGAGATCGTGGACCCAGAGAGGGTCCTCCCGAGGGCTCTGGAGCTGGCTGATGACATCGCAAGGAACACCAGCACAGTCAGCACGCAGATGAACAAGGATCTGATCTGGCGTGGACCTGATTCGCCTGAGGAAGCTCAATTGATCACTTCCAGGGTTATCCTGGACTTGTTCAAGAGCAAGGATGGTGCGGAGGGTATTAAGTCGTTCCTGGAGAAACGGCCGGCACAGTTTAAGGGGACAGTGCCGAAAGATGCACCTTCGGTGTGGCCATGGTGGAACCAGATCGATGCGGATCCGCCTAAGAGTGACTGGCGCACGAAATCCAAGATCTGATGTGGTAATTTATAGATAGTGATCTCCATTTGATAAGAGTATCTGTATACAACTCAATATTATTACACTGCTGTAATCACTTGAGGAGATAGTGCATGTGTAGGCCTTACGCAGAGTGTGAAATAATGTCACTGTGTGTCTGGGGGCAGCTTTTCGTCCACCACTTCCACTTTGCCTTCGTCAGTCCTTCTAATCGCACCCGCGCCATGTCCAACAAATCGAAGGACCCATTCCCTTACTCGAATTGTCTTCCCAACTTGAGGATGGGTATCGTTACTGATAGTAGTATTCAAATCCCGGACACCGTAGCAGCCACCCTCATCCTCTCTGTCAATCCTATTCCGGAACAAGAGATCTACCTTGGTCACCTCGCGCCTGAGGCTCTGGCCGTAGACTTTACCACGGAAGCTTGATAGGGCAACATTTCGGACCAAGATGATATCCTGAGGGCGGAGGCCACTGAGAGATCTCCTGAGATCAGGATGGCCTCCTGTAGGCCTCGAAACAGCATTTAGTGGAAGCCAACAGTTGATCCCAAAACCTGATCTAGTCTGGTCTCCAACAAGCAATTCTACTATCTCAACGGCGGACCCTCCGCGAGTTTGTATGCTCCGAGGTGGTGATATTGAAATAATCCCAACGATGATATTGACTGTCATGGTCTGCGGGTGAATTGAGTGAAGGTATTTTGAATTAGGGATATATCCCAAGTCATTAATTCGTCCTCCATCCGGCACCGGCAAATTAGACGGCGCGGTTGAGTGCGAGTTGAATGAGAACCCAAGTGAGGTAGAGAATGAAGTGGCATTGGACGCAGTGGTTCCAGCCTCTGCGTCTGGCCGTAATATCTCGTCCTCAGGCCCACGATCCGGTATTGCGGAGGATGGGAGGTTCTCATACACAGCTAACGAGTCTCCATAAAATTGAGATGTAACATCCTCTGTATATTCAGTAGTGAGGGGTTGCGTATCAACTTGCTGGGCAGAGAATAAGCTTTGATCAGTGCCAAAAGACGAAAGAGCTGAATTCGCAGCTGCAGGAGCGGCAACATTTCCTTCGTCTTCGCCCGGCGAAGCACCGGCCTGGAGCTGACTGTATACCAGCGGCTCAGTTGCGGCCCTCAAAGAGCGCCACCGCACATGTTCATGAGATGCTATGGGTAGTGGCGAAGGATGTGCGTCATAACCTAGCCCGGCAAATTGCCTGATTGGGGGCAAGAAATTCTCAATAAGAGCATCAAATTCCCAGTCCAAAGAGCTAGGCATTGGGGCACCAGCGAAGACGAGAACATTTGGAGCCATACTATCAAGGCACATAAAATCCCCCATCCATCGTGTCTCCTTTTTGTGAGTGTGGCTAGAGTACCCTGCAAGGCCTTGTACCTTACGTAAAGGAAGTCACGATCGAGTCTGGACATTGGTCGTCACCGTTCGAGAAGCCGGATGATACCTTTCCCGGGTTGTCTGCCGCATCCGGGTGCCTCGACCGACCCCGGAGTTAAGAGCAAAGCGTTGTTGGATGACCTCAAAAATACGCTCCGTCGCGGCTCGGTCTCGGACTCCAGTCGGACGAGAGCGCATATGACGCGTCTCACCATGAAAATCTTCACTACTGGGATGCAGTGATATATAGTAAGCAATTCTGCCGCGAGAAGCTATGAGTTCTGTGTCTTTTCCAGAGGTCTCTCATCGGCGCTAGGCAAACTCCTGTATAGTGCATCAGATTAGATCGGATCAGCGGCGGTGATTAGATAATCCCTTTTGCGCCATCACCATCACCATCGCCAGATCAGATAAAGCGATTACCCCCACACGCCCTTTCCCCGCCAATAACACCGTCTTTTTGTGTTACACGACGGGAAAGCCAAGCTCTCGAGGATGCCGGATTTCGGGTATCTGATTGACAATGCAAAGAGGAGTATTCTGGGGTTGAAGGAGCCAAGTACTGCGACAGAATCAAAAACACCAGCGGTTGACGATTTATTTACCAAGGTCGATCCTGCTGTTGATGGCGACGATTGCAACCACGATTGCGCAAGCTGCGATATAAAGTACCCAACGAAATTTTCAATCGACGAAAGCGACGAGATTTATGGGAATATTAAAGCATGGAGCACTCATGTCCTGGTCGCAACCGGAAAGACAGACTGGGTAAGAGATGTGGGGGATGAGAAGGGGAGCATAATGGAGGCGTTTGACAAGACCTCCGTTAAGCCAAGTAATGGCGTAAGATACCTCCTTGGCCCTCGCTTTACTGGGTGAGGCATCAACTTGCTAACAAACTGGTTGCTTGCAGAAATTAAAGCTCTCCGCGTCGAATATTCCGACTCCAACACATCACAATGACTATGCGGAGCCGACGACAGTTTTAATCCTCCCTGCATTCACAATCGTCGAGAATGTCACCCCTTCATCAGTACCCGACTTAATCACATCCTTCATCAATCATTCTCCAACAACTATGTCGAGTTTAGTTCCGAATTCCGTTCCTATATCACTCCGAGACCCGCTACCAACAGCCTCAGAGCTGGTCGCTCGCCCGTGCCCCCACAAAGCGTTAATACTTCTATGTTCGCAAAGAACACGAGATGCTCGTTGCGGGCAGAGCGCGCCGCTATTACGGAAAGAACTGGAGAGGCATTTGCGGCCATTGGGTCTCTTTCGGGACCTTGATGATGAGAGGCCAGGCGGTGTGGGAATCTACTTTATTAGCCATGTTGGTGGACACAAATATTCGGCCAATATGATGGTGTACAGGAAAGAAAACCCGTGGGGCCTGGATGACGTAGAAAGGGCAACAGCTAATGGCGACTTTCACGTCCCAGCGACGCCTGCTGGCGCTGAAATTGTCGAGTATAGTGCTGCTCAGTGCATCTGGCTTGCGAGAGTTTTCCCCAATGACTGCGAGAACATTGTCAAGTATACAATCCTCCAAGGAAAGGTTGTCAAGCCAGAGCGGCAGCTTAGAGGTGGCTTCGACAGAACACGTGGGGTTTTCAGTTGGTAGCTGTTATTTTGAGTTAGAACCAAAATATAAAGAACCCGCGCTGTTGCATACAATGTTATTAAATGGAGATTCGTTAATTGCAAGACTGGTTGCTAGGGAATGTTTGACGTGGTCCCTGGGCCGAAAGACAACCGCCGTGGTTCGTTAAACCCTTCCCCCACCACTTCGGTGAAAGATATGTGTTGTTGTCATGACAACCATGTCTCACAAAACAAAGTCGCATCCAGCGGCCCAGTGTCGAGACAACTCACCGCCACATCTGAAACATCGACTGAGGGAATCATGAAATAAAAATTCAAGAGTGTTCTCCTAATATATTATCATATCAATAAAGATGGCCACTATGTCGAATCCCACGGATAGCACCCGCCACCATACGAGGACGAAGTCCGCACTGCGGTCGTTCATGCACAAGCGATCGCCTTCCAAAGGAGCTCCCTTATCGACATCTCCAACGGATATATTCGTTGCTACCCCTGGATACGACCAGCCAAACTCTGCGACAATGTCCCCCCCCGATTATTTTCATTCCAGAGCTCTGGGGGAGATCAACCAAAATCAACAGAAGCCTGTAGAACAGCCACCATCTCCAAGGAAGTCCAAAGATGCTGAGCGGAGCAAGGACAAGGAAGGCTTTCGATACTTACACAAGAAGACATTGAGCACCATCTCACTCAAGTCACTATCCAGCAAGGACAACGAAAATAAGCACAAGGAGGAGAAAGAACGCAAGCCAAAGAAGTCAAAGTCATCGACCAATCTGGCAGCTCTTCTAACACGACCACGGTCCTCCAAAAGTCGCCAAAAGCTAGCTGCGGATGCTGGATTCATGTCAAGTAAAGACAAGGAGAACCAGCCACCAAATAACTCGAGGCCGCCGGAGTCGCCTACCCGACCTCCAATCTACACACAGTTTTCTAGCCAGCATTTCGCCACCCAGCAGTTCGGTGGTCGGTTCCTCGAGGATGATACCAACGTGCCCACAGGAAACGAACACTATTCTGATGATCACGACGCTTTCTTTGCTGAGGAAGGCTTGCCGCCTACATTGGGCCAGCGCGATGGATCACGCCCAAACTCCATGTCGATTCCAGCCAGCTATATCGTGCAGGATATCAGTAGGCCAGCTGGGCCTGCGAGCTTTGAAGGGACTCGCACCACTGAGTCTCCAACGGAGCAGTTTTACCAGAAGCAACCCGCAGCACCTACACCTGTGCTGAAGTCCGAACAGAAGCTGCCATCCAAGCAGGACTTGAAGGCAAAGCCGAAGGAAGACAACTCCGGGGCAGAAGCATCCCTGGATATGAGGGACGTCGATGCCGAGTTCGAAGCCATGCTGGACCGAAGAAATATACCCGAGAACCAGAGATACAAGATGCGCAGCTTGGCCAACACGATGAAAATCGATTTCATAAGACAGGACTGGGCCGAGACCGCAGCCTCTCACAAAGAGCCTCCAACAACAGCTGGCAGCATGGAGAGCGCAACTAGTGGGTCATACACAGTTGAATCTTTACCACAAAAGAGCAAACGGCCGCGCAGCCGCACATTCACTGGATTTACACTCTCAAAATCCAGTAAGAAGGCAGCAAACGCTGCTGAGACAAAGTCTGAGACATCTAGCAGACATACCCGCACGAAGTCCTCAGACAGCACAGCCGATAAGGGCAAATCCCTCTCCGCCACCGTCAGCGCAGCAAGCAACCTCATTGCCAAAGCCAAGGGCCACTCAGCCGGGGACTTCGTCGCCTACCTTCGCAAAGTGCAGAAGCCTGAATCCGTCGAGGTCGGCAAGCTGCACAAACTCCGCCTGCTCCTCCGCAACGAGACCGTCGCCTGGACAGACGAGTTCATTACCCTCGGCGGGATGATGGAGATTATCGCCTTACTGCACCGTATCATGGCCGTCGAGTGGCGCGAGGAGCACGAGGACGCATTACTTCATGAGTCCCTCCTCTGTCTCAAGGCGCTGTGTACTACCGCGCTCGCCCTCTCGCATCTGGCGCTCATACAAGCCTCGCTCTTCCCCGCACTGCTGGCTATGCTCTTTGATGAGAACAAGAAGGGACCGAGTGAGTTCTCAACGAGAACGATTATCAGTTCCCTCCTCTTCACATACCTCCAATCCGCGCCGCTCCCCGAGCGCCAAGCGCGCGCAGAGACCCTCATAAAACACCTCCGCGACCCGATGCCCTCCGAGGAAGAACGCCCGGTGCCGTTCGTGCTGGAAATGCACCAAGAGCGTCCCTACCGCGTGTGGTGCAAGGAGGTCGTCAATGTCACCAAGGAAGTCTTCTGGATCTTCCTGCACACACTCAATGTCATCGCTGTGCCAGATGACTCAGCCCAACCCCCAGCAGCAGGGGATGATGAGTTTGCATACATGCAAACCCACTTCCCCACCCCACTTCCACCTCTCCCCACCGCCCCATACGTCGGCGGCGTGGAATGGGAAGCCACAAATTACATCACCTCGCACCTTTTTCTTCTTAACGGCATCGTCTCTTGCCTTCCTGCGCCCCAGCGTGCCGAGCTGCGCGCGCAGTTGAGAATAAGCGGGTGGGAACGCTGCATGGGCGGGAGTCTGAGGACGTGCAAGGAGAAGTTTTACGGCGGAGTGCATGTTGCGCTCCGCGAATGGGTGGGAGCAGCACTGGCGGATGGGTGGGAGGTGAGTGAGGTGCGGTTTGGGAAGAGGAGTGAGCCGAGGAGTGGGAGCCCGAGGAAGGGGAAGAAGGGAGAGGAGGCGCCGAGACTGGGCGGACTGGATTTGGGAGAGGGTGGTGGGGGGAAGTGGGAGAAGGAGGAGGTTGGGGGATGGCTTTAGGGGGTTGCTTTTTTGGTTCGTTTCGTGGTATTACTTATTTTGGAGTCTGTCGTGCATATGGGATCGGAAGGGGCTATCGGGGCGTTCTGTTGTTTGGGTTACTGGATTCTCTTCTTTCTTGTTCTTCTCTTCTCTCTTGTCTGTTTCTTCTCGATTTTCAATTTTGGTGGAGAGGAAGTAGGAGGCTGTGTAATGATTTCGCCCGGTCTTCTCTTCATGAGAGAGAAGGGTTTGTGGGGGAAGTGGATGATGATGATTATGATCAACGAAATAAAATGAATGAGGGTTCTGTCTGTTAAATTTTGGGAGGGGGGTAGTTTCATGGATGTGATGTGTGATAATGATTCTGATTATGACTACCCTAGTTGTAATCGTGATGACTGACGGACTCTAACATCATTTCCAGCTGCCGATAGCTTCGTCTACTTTCCGTCGGTATAGCTGCTGCATCTTGGCTTGATCTAAGAACACCTCATACTTGATCTCAAAGAGAGCCTTCTCTACAGTATCTGTGCCAGGCTGGATTAACTTTCCGGGCTTGCTCATCCTTTCCATGATGGACCACAACTCTTCAGTATTGCCGCTGGCATTGGCGGATGCAGCTTTCGCGCCTAGCATAGCTGCGCCGTGGACGACTGCTGCTCCTGCATACTCTGGAATCACCACAGGCAGTCCGCAGATCGTGGCTATTAATAACATCAGGATAGAGTTCTTGCATTGCGAACCCGACATGTACAGCGAGCCGATTGAATGTCCCGAGGTGTTCATTGAGTCGACGATGTGTCGGGTCTGCAGAGAAATGAACTCCATCGCGCCGTAGTAATGCAGGGCCAAGTTATCCACACTCTGGTCGGTAGTGAGACCAATAATTGAACCAGCCATGGTCACATCCGCAAGTGGGGAGCGGTTGCCGAAGAAATCGCCGTAGAAAAAGAAATGTCGGCCGACATATGAAACGGATGGTGCGCCGGCTTTCCGAGTCATCACCGCTAGGTGGTCGTTTAAGAATTCGTAGATGCTTTTATCTTTTCCGCCCTGCTTCGCCAAGCTCTTTGCCTCCTCATAAGCTGGGTGATTCTCGATTATAAAGCGCAGAAGCTCGCCGGTTGCTGATTGTCCACCCTCAGCCATCCACATGCCAGGTACCAGTACGTCAAGATATGGTCCCCAGACTCCGTTAACAAATATCGGATCTTTAGACATTACGAGGTGGCAAGTCGATGTGCCGCCCACAAGAGCCAGCCGGCCGAATGCATCCGAAATGTCACCTTTGGTAGCCTGAGAGGGCTCGTGTTTGGCGCCAACAGTTCCGATCCAGCCAGCATAAGCGTCAATAACGCCGCTTCCAACAGCTATTCCGGCAGGTAGCCCCATATCTTTTGCGGCGCTTTCAGAGAGGCTTCCTACCAGCTCGCCAGCGCTCAGGTATTGGCCTCTCTGCCCCTCAATACCCCCAAGAGGGGCATACTTCTTATCTTTCAAGCACCCTAATCCAATGGCGCCAAAGAAATCGTCGCGCCATCCAGTCTCACCAGTATCTGCTCCCTTTGGAAGATACCCTTGCTTGCATACTGTGCTGCAATAGCTCCTCGTGTCTTTCCCGGTAGCCATGTGGGTCAAGGCATCCGTCAAATCGTAAAATTTGCAGCTCGCGAAAACATCAGCAAGCATATGATTCTTTAACCATAAGATCTTTGGGATTTCCATCTCGACACTCATTTGGCCGCCAACATATTTTAGAACATTATCGTCTGTCGCATTGATGACCTTTGCCTCTTCGACAGCCCTATGGTCTAGCCACAAGATGACGTTCTGGTCGGCTTTACTGAAGTCAGGGCCACTGACAGATACGGGCTCATTTGTGTCATCAGAGAAGACGGCAAGCGAGCAGGTAGCACAGAATCCTATGCCGCGGACTGTGGCGGGGTCGACATTGCTCTCTTTCAGGGCCTGTTTAACACAAGTTGAGATGGAGCTCCAAATGTCAGATGTAGATTGTTCCTGCACATCTTAGCAAGTTTCTCCTTGGATAGAGTTTCGCTGAAGCCGGCCTACATAGAAAGTATTTTGTGGTTGCCACGTGCGAATGTCCTTCGATGCGACGGCTTTAATATCGCCTGTGCGGTCGACGATGCAGACCCGTGCGCTCCCAGTCCCTATGTCGACGCCGATATAATGTTCAGCTTCGATTGTGGACATTGTGAGCTCGGAAATTTAAGATTAATTGGGTTTGTAGATGAGAGAAAGAAGATGAGTGATCGAGGAAGAGACCATCTTTATACAGAGCCCATAATTAAAAAAATCACGTCTTCCACGATGTATGGACTAGAAGTCTGGCTGTCGTCGCATTTGGTTAGTACAGATATGCACGTACTCACGAGTAACACTTTCTCCACATGATCTAAGACAGTCGGGGAGAAAGGAGCGAGAGCCGCAATCGATGCTACAAGCAACCTAGAAATGACATGTAAGAGGGTCAAAAGTCCTGACTCTTCATGTGGTGAGAATTAAATCCGGGTCGCCCGAGTCAATAAAGCCACAGGGCGAGTTTCGGCCTCAAGTCCGATGCGGCTTCTTGTGCCGTTTTTTTGGGGGATTTACGAGTCGTTACTCTCGTTTTTACTTGATTTTCAGTCTTGGTAGACCTAGGCGTCGGAACTCTCCCGCCAGATGCTTGGTGGCGGCTGCGCCAGCCGATCATACTGAGGTTAAGACTGCCGATTATAAGACCAGCCAAGAACTAGAACCCTGTGAATATGCAGTTCACTTCTAACGCCTGACGCTAGCAGTTTGAACTTTGGGAATTCTATGATTTTGAACATCATTGTGATTGCCAGCAACTATATTCCGCTCATCCGAGAACTATCAACATGTAGGCGTAGCTATGTCTATTCATCTTGCACACCTCCATGAGAACCTTTATCAACCCCGGCTTCCTAGAGTCCACGTCTTTAAACGCCTGCTCCGCATCCTCGAACTTAGACGTTGCTGTAATGAGACTCTTCAAGTCAACCTGTCTATTTTTCAGCATAGAGATCGCCAGCTTGTAATCACCGCTTCCATACCGAAAGTTGCCCTTGACCGTCAATTCCTTCTCGGTAATGGCACCGATGGGGAAATTGATGTCGTATTTACCATTTCCTCCTTGGACGTAGGTGCCACCAGATCGCAACACGTGAATGCCTGTTTGAATGCTCGGCTCAGCACCGCTCGCATCGATAGCCACGTCGGCACCTGTTCCCAGGTTGGCTTCCTTGATTATCCGCGCAGCGTTCTCTTTGCTCGGTGCTGCCCCAGCCACAACCGTATGAGTCGCGCCGAAAGTCTTCTGAGCCAAGTTGAGCCGCGATTGCAAAATATCAACCGCGACAATAGTAGTAGCTCCAAACGTCCTCGCAACAGCACAGCACAGGAGTCCAATAGGACCAGCTCCAAACACCATGACGCTGTTCCCGGGAATAATCTTGGCTTGGCGAGAAATGTGAATCGCAACACCCAACAGCTCGACTAAAGCGCCCTCTTCAAACGAGACGTGCTTTGGGAGCTTGTAGCAGTAGTCCTCCCGTCAAATGGAGGTGTGGCTGCGAATGCCATTTCGCTGCATACGTTGTATAATCCCTCCTTGCAGGGAGGGCATTTGCGACATGGTACGCCGGGCTCCAGTGCGACGGCATCGCCCACAGTGAGGGTTTGGCAGCCAGATCCCGCGGCAACGACAATCCCAGAAGACTCGTGCCCGAGCACCATGGGGCTTTTGACGACAAACTTGCCAATGGATCCGTGGTTATAATAATGAACATCGCTGCCGCAAATACCAGTTTGCTTGATTTGGATGATCACATCGCTCGATTCCGGAGAGATTGTTGGCACTGGTCTGTTCTCAAAGACCACATTTTGAACCTATTGGAGGACAAAAGACATTATTCCGTTTGATGCCATTATGATTATTTTGCTTTAATAAAAATAAAATAACAAAAGAAAGAAGATTGGAAACCAAGAACCATAACTGTTAAATACAATAATCCTCTCTAGACGGACCACTTTACTTTCTTCCACAAATGTTATAACTTGTACTTACGCGGCGAGGCCGCGCATCGGGGAGTTCGGAGTCCGCCTCTGATCGCCGAGAGATCTTGGCTGGCAACAAACGAACCCATTGGTTCGGGGACCCCTCGGGGAAACTCCGAACAAATACTGTACCCACTACGTCGGATAGCTACTTCAACATTTTTACGGGCCGTGGGTTTGGAAAGTTGCACGTTGGACGCCGTGTTCAGTTGGTTATTTGGCTGCAGATTATGCAGGAAGTGGGTTGGTATTGCTGGTGTTACAGTTTGTAAGTTCCCTATCTAAATTCCATGATGAAGACCTGCACTAACAAGTTCCCAAAAGACGCCCCAACCATCTGCCCTATGGCCGGTTTTGATGCCCGTAACGGTCAGTAGATTTCGGGTCTCAATAATATCTTCTACATGATATGTCAACGCTGTACTCTATAATATCCTATCAATCCCTAACACCAGTTTAATTTGCAACCCTCGTCTGCGTCTTCACCCTTGACCGCATCGGTCGCCGCAAGACCCTTTACTAAGGTTCCATCGCCCAAGGCATTGCCATGTTCCTCGCTGGCGGATTCTCCGCCATCGGTTATCCAAGCCGCCGCCGAGGGCAACGCCGGCAGCGAATCGGCATTCGGGGCGGCCGGGGCTAGTATGGTTTTCGTGTTCACAAGCGTGTTCGGAGCCACCTGGTTGACCGTCCCTTGGCTCTACCCAGCTGAGATCTTCCCACTCACCATCCGCGCAAAGGGTAACGCACTCGGTGTTGTTGGATGGTCTATCGGTAACGGATGGCCGACCCTCCTATGCCCCGTCATGTTCGAGGCCATCGGAGAGAAGACCCTGTACATTTTCGGTATCGCCAACGCTATTACTTTACCTATGGTTTGGGCTCTCTACCCCGAGTCCAACCAGCGCACTCTCGAGCAGATAGATCTCCTCTTCTCCGCCGACACCCCGTGGAACTGGGCCGCGGAGAAGAACTTCAAGATGCTCATGGATGAGGGTGGCTTGTCGACGGCAGCTCACGCGCCCAAGTCGGACTCCGTCGTTCTCGATGGCGGCGAGAAGGGTGTCGGGTCGGAGAGTGCTTGAGGAGTCTAGGAAACGGTGCATGCCCTATGTGTTAGTAGATCTTAGATCTTAGATCGTGTAAACTTCTAATAGACGATATGTTTATTCAAACGTCTTCTCCATTACGGCGTATTGAAATACCCAACTTCCACAAACAACCTTTCCAGAACCTGTCGTGTCCTCACTAGATCCGGGGACTCATCCTCCCAAAATGCCAAGGTCCCTATGACAGTCGGGATATGATCCGCCCACTCCTCCCGAACCGTCACCTTGCCGCTCTTAGCCGCCGCAATGACGCTAAAGGCCGCCGTCACGACGGCGCGGATATCGAACCAGATCCCATGGTGTCGGTGCCTGAAACACCGCTTCTGGACAGTTTCGAGGTGACAGTCCATCGCCGCCTCAGCCAATGACTGAAGGACTGGATTCTCTCGAACGTGATCCGTTTGCGTATCGGCGTGTATGGCATGGTAGAGGAACGGCTGGTAAAGCCAGGATCTCATTTCCAATAATCGATTCCCAGTTGCCCAGCTCAGTTCTCTGGAAGGCCCTCCCTCTGTCAAATTGACATCGTATTGCATTGCCCGTGGAAAATTAGCCGACCAGACCAGAATCTGCGACTCGAATTCTTTGGCTATAGGGATCAACGGCAGGATGTTCTTCCAATCCGTGTGGTCTTGGCGATAAAATGTGCGTAGTATCCTGTTGCTGATCCTCCTCAATGCGACTTCGGTGAGGTAGTAATACCAGCTCTTTTCCTCGTTTAGGTCTTTATCGCTGTCCTGCATCAACCCAGGGTCTGACAGCATCTCACTGCCGTGTAGTGTCCTTCCCGAGAAATTCCTCGAATGAGACTGAGGCGAGGGGAACAGATGAGGGTACTCTATACTCGCTATCCCCGACTGTGGTAATCTGATCTCACACTCCGACTTGAAACAAGACCAGTAGAGACTCTGCTCCAGTCTCCGATGCGTCAGGCTCAGTCCGTCTAGACGGGGGGTCTCAGACACCTTGGATAACGTTCTGAAACTGAGCTGGTAGAAAGTCGATGCCTGACAGAAGTGATTCCAGGCCTGTAAAGGAGCAAAAGTGTACATGAGATACACAGCAGAGTAAAAATAACACTGCGCCCCAAGAATGGTATGTTTCAACAAACCCAACCTCCGACAAGCCAAAGCATAGCACGACTCACCCTGCCGAAGCAGACGTGGGTGTTGATCCGGCCACCATTTCCGTTTGATTTGCAATGGACGTCTCGAAAGAATATGAGACTGAACCCAAGGCACAAGCCAGGAGCACAACACATGACTGTGCATCCCACCCCGGACCATTCGCAGCCGCCATCTGTCCATACCGAATTAAAGCATCAACGTCAAGAATCGGGTTCTTGGTGTGTACATTCCGCAGGAACCTGTCTATTAAAGATGGTATCCTCTCATCTGACAAGGACTCGAATTCGCCATGTCGAACAACAAATGCGTCACCCTTGTCATCCTCGCCCTTTCCAAGAATTGCCTCGATGAGATACCCTGGGGGATACTCGCCGGCGAAAATTGGCCAAGTCAAGATTGTGTCGGCAGTTGTGTTGGTGCTGGGGATTCTGAGATAGTCCTTTTGGGCATCATCTATCGTGGCAGGTTGCTGGAAGCTCGGCGTTTTGCTGGAAATATCGGAGTGTCTTGGGGATCCGGAAACTGGATCTTGTATCCGAGTCTCATGGACAGAGTCTATATATTTGGTCAGTATGGATCCAACTTAGCGCGGGGTTTTGAGAACACGTACCTTGAGGACGAAGTGAGGCAGTTATCCCCTGTACCCCCGCCAATATCTGATCCAACCGACTCATAAGCTGCGCCAGAATAGACGCCTCCCTACACCTCGTCAGCAGACCCAAATGAGAAAATAAATTTCCAGGTTACACACGGCGACTTCTCCCTCCCACCATCAATATAAACACACTGACGCCCCGACTCAACACAGGACCCGCAACTAGGCCGCACATTATCGCACTTCACCTTCCTCCCCCGACACCTCTGACACGCTATGCGCCGCCGCTGAACCTTTTGCGGCTGCTCGTCATCATCAAGTCGACTGTGTTTTCGCGAGGTTTCATTGGATGTAGGCGTAGGTAACCCGGGGGGGTCGCCGGGGCTGCTCATGCTGGGTTGCGGTAGGCCCTGTGACGATCTCTCCTCCTTCTGGCAGAGTGCGCGCGCTGGGTTTTTGCTGGACTCGATCAATACACCGCGGACATAATGATATAACTCCGTGCGCCTAGAAATATATTGGATGGAAGTGGGTATTGCAATTGCAATTGGACTTTGTCTGGATCGACAACAAATTCGCAACCGTGGGGGACGCGGAGTAGATTGCGGAGGAGGGATGTACGCTATCGATTCCAATGGGCATTTTGCGGAACAACCCGCCCAACGTGGTGAACAAAGTGACGATATATCGTCGTTATCAATTAGCTGGCTCATGGAGTTGAAATACCAGTAACTTAACTTATATATTTTTTTCATTTATGTATCACAGCATGCTTTATGATGTTTGGAGTCTGATATTCTCGAGAATTGTAATTTATCAAGAATTTATCCATATCTTTTAAAATAGGACACACTAATTTATCATCTCATTATAAATCCCATACGGAGTAGACTGCTTTCTTCTTCCTACACTCAGCGAGCAACCCCCCCTTCTCCAGCGATCATAGCGTCCGCTCCACCACAGCGCCACAAAGGTTTATTATCCTCGTAGGGCCCTGCATCCAGATTTACACCGACCAAGTGACTGACTGGCTGGCGATCACACCCCTCCTTGCCCCACTCCCCACGCATTGCTGCTGTCCTCAATGCCATTTATCTCCCTTCAATCCCATATACCAGTACCCCCCAAGCCTACACCACCAACCCGTCCTGACAAAAAAAGCCCCGTACATCCCCCTTGCCCCCCAACCTCCTCAAAACCCGAACTAGCCACAGTAGCAGACGACAGTTTTCCAAAAGACAATCACCGAACGAAGGAAGAGGAGCAGACTCATATCACGTTCCCAATACCCGGGAATGAACACCGACAGCAACAGCACCCCCCCCCCCCCCAAGCATATCCAGGAACTCCCCCAGATTTTTTTCCCCCACAGCCCTAACTCACTCTCATCCCACCACTATTGTGGAATCCGAGAGCTTCCTGGAACCCCTTTCTGCAGACTAGAGTGAGCACTTCAGATACCTCATATATCATTATCATTTGTAGTTGCGATGATGCACACCCCCCGTGAGAACCGAGAATGCTGCCTGCGCAACTGGTTGGTGGACACCGAGATTTGATCTGCGGGTGCCAACTGTTTCTAACTCCCCCCCGGCCAGTTCGCCACCAAGCCAGCACCAACCCCCATTCCCAGCCGCAGCACCTGCATATTTGCCTAAGCTGATCTAAAATGGTGTGGTCTTCGTTTTCACGGAGATCCCGAACTGGGGCCCTAGATCAACTTCAAGTACCGATCTTAGACAACCCATTCCAGATGGAGCCTCTCACCATTCGTTCAGCACTCCGGAAGAATTTCCCCAAGGTGACGGAGGGCATTGCTGCGGTCATCGAAGACGGTTGTTGTTATGCGGGGATGGTATTGGTAGTACGCGGTCCGGTGGTGAGAAGAGCCCAGTGAGGAGGGGGGGATGGGGAGAAGATGATGGTGACAGCAACAACCCCCCGTTCCCCCGGGGGAGGAGAAGGGGATGGAGGACTAATATCATCGTCTGTAGTTAGGATAATGCTTTCGGTGGAGATTGAGAATAGTGTATATGCTAGGGATCTCTGGGTGCGTCTAAGGGACACCCGCTATCCGATCTGCGCTCACCACCAAGAACCCCCCGCCGTCACAGCCCCCGCCGTCACAGCCCCCGCCGTCACAGCACCCCCCTCTCCCCCCAACCCTCCACCCCCACGCGCCCAAACCACCCATCCTAGTTTGCAAAGCGACACCACAACCTTCCTCCCTGTCATCTGGAAGCGTGGTAATCTCAGTAGCGATTTTTTGATAATGGCTATTGCACTGGTCTCTGGGGGGGTTGATATAGTATACCCGGCTATCTGTTAACGGCTGCGAATCGAAGTGCGGATATGAGAACTTTGCGTGGACCGGTTCCTCAGTACAGGAGTCGGTATGCTCAATCGTAAGCCAAACACGCATTCCACACATAAAATTTCACACATACACATATCCACATTAGTCACAATATAGCATCAGAGTAAGTTATACCACTCAATTACCCCCTCCACCATACCCCATATCCCCCCCATTTTGCACTACCCCCTTAACCCCCAACAACGGGTATACCCAACCAGCACAACCAGCACAACCAGCACAACCAGCACAACCAGCACAACCAGCACAACCAGCACAACCAGCACAACCAGCACAACCAGCACAACCAGCACAACCAGCACAACCATCACAACCCTACATCTCATCATCAATCAACACAAAACCCATTCCTATCTTCATACCCCGACTACCACCCCGTGACCCGTAAACAAAAGGAAAGAGAAAAAAACAGATAACAAAGGAAAGCATATAACCTCAAACCGAGAGACAACGCGCGCGAGGGAGTCGACAGAAACCCTCTACTCTCCCCTCGCCTTCTTCTTCCTCCCCTTCCCCCCCTTATCCTCCTCCCCCCCGGCCACCGCAGTCTCCTCCCCCCTCTTACTAAGCCTCTTCCTCTTCTTATCCGGGCTGCCCGCCTTCGCCGCACTGCTGGGCACAATAGCCGCCGGCTCCGGCGCAGGCGTAAGCACCTTCCCGCCCACCTTCTTCCCCCTCACCTTCCCCTTCGGCGTCGCCCTCGCCGCCGCCGCCTCCGGAGAGGACGGCAAGGACGCCGCGTCCGCAGCGGGGAGATCAAGGAGGGACTCTGCGTTCAGCTGGTCGTTCGCAGAGATCTCCGCAGGGGCGGTGGAGATGTTATGCGTATCGGCATAGGCCCTCGCCTGGTCATCCGTCATATCCTTCGCCTCCAAAATCCCCGACTTATACGCATGCGTGCGCGCATTATACAGGCGCAGATTCTCCGTGTAGACCCCCGTCCACAGGCTCTTATCATAATCCTCCATATCCCTCCACCTCCTCACGCCCTCATTGCTCACCGCCCCCTTCGCGACCTCCGGCCCCAGATCCCCCGCGATGATCGGGCGCGCAGTCTGCATGTACAAAAAGTACGGCGTCAAGGGGCGCTTGGGCGCATTGGGGTCATGGACGCGCTTCTTCTTCTCCTTCTTAGCATCTGCGGCGGGGGCCGCGACGGCGGGGGTGGGGGCGCGGAAGCCGGAGAGGCCGGCGAGGAGGGGGTTGTCGCCCAGGCGCGAGAGGGCGGATTCGACTTCCAGCCCGACGCCGCTGTTGTCGCCCAGGTAGGCGTTGGTGTGCTTGATGTAGGCGGAGGAGAGGGTTTGGATCGCGTCTTGGAGGGTGGCGAGGCCGGTTACTACCTGGGGGGTTTGTTAGTGGGCTGTACTTTTGAATTAAGGTGTTTCTGATAAGGGTATTGAGATGGGACTGTGGTGCAGTGAGACTGTGTAGTGATGTGGTGCAGGGGTGGTAGTAGTGGGGGTGGATTGTGATTGTGGGGGTGTTGGCGTGGACGCGCTGTGTGGAGGATAAACAATGGGCTACGCGTCGTGGGATGTGGAGGGGGTTGATGTGAGCGAGCGAGCGAGCGACAGGCGCGGCGGTGGTGAATGCGGCGCGAGGGATGTTGTGGTGAGGTGGTGAGGTGTCGCGACGATAACGAGGCATGGATGTGATGATGGGGTTTGGGGGAGGGAGGAGTGGTGATAAGTGAAGAGAGAGAATGTCATGGGCTTACCGAGTCTCTTGTGCGGACGAAGCTGTCGACGTCAATGGTCAAGGTGGCAGGTCCATCTCTGGGCTTCTCGGCGTCGGCTTTCCTTTGTCGTGCCATGGTGGTTGGTGAGAGTGGAGGTGGTGTGGTGGTGTGGTTGGTGGTTGGTGGTGGTTGGTGGTGGTTGGTGGTGGTTGGTGATGATTGTGGTGATGGGGGAAGTGGTGGTGTTGTGACGGGGGAAGTGGTGGTGGTGTGTGGTGGTGTTGTTGAAGTTTAGTGGTGTGTGGTGGTGTGTGGTGGTGAGTGGTGGTGTGTGGTGGTGAGTGGTGGTATGTGGTGGTGTGTGGTGGTGGTGTGTGGTGGTAGTGTGTGGTGGTAGTGTGTGGTGGTGTTGTTGAAGTTTAGTGGTTGATGGTGGATGAGGGTGAGGTGGTGGTGCGCTGGAGATGATGAAGATTGAAAGGTTTGGGGGGGGGAGGAAGGAGGGGGGTGTTGAATTGATTTGGGGAGTGGCTGGGGTTTAATAGCACAATGGGTGGGTGAGTGGTGGTGAGTGGTGGTGAGTGGTGGTGAGTGGTGGTGAGTGGTGGTGAGTGGTGGTGAGTGGTGGTGTGTGGTGGTGTGTGGTGGTGTGTGGTGGTGAGTGGTGGTGAGTGGTGGGTGGTGGGGTTAGCGAGGTTACGTTAAGGGGGTTAGCGAGGTTACGTTAAGGGGTTAGCGAGCATCAGCAGAGTTTTCGTAGTGGGAGTTGCAGTTGGGGGAGTTGCGGTTGCAGTGGAGGGAGGGAGTTGCAGTTGCAGTGGATGATCACGCTGTGAGGGGAATTGGTGTGGTGTGGTGGTGGAGGGCCGGGGCCGGTACTCCCCGTCTCTGTCTGCTTTCTGGGCCTGCTGGTTGGCTGTAGGGAGAGGTGGCAGGCTGCAGTAGTGGTAATCTGCACCCACCATCTCGCTACCACTTCCTCTACCACTTCCTCCACCACTTCCTCCATCACTTCCTCTACCACTTCCATCCCCGCTACCACTTCCATCACCACTCACCCTGCCGTCTATCACCACCGCCCTCAACCTCCATCCACTGACTACAGGCGCCATGATATGCTGCCATATGCTGCCATAGTGATGATGGTCAGCATCACTGTCATGGCCAAAAAGTACAGTCGGAAAGTAAATCGCACAAACCATCACGTGCCGTCTCTGTAGCCTCCATCGTGCTACGAGTACTCTACTTTCCTTCCTTCTTTCATGCACAGAGCAACTTGTACATACTGTACGTGACGCTGTCTCACCTCCCACCACCTCCACTACCATCTCACTCCCCTCCCACTACAATCTCACTCCCCTCCTCCCACCTCCCCACTACCATCTCACTCCCCTCCCACTACAATCTCACTCCCCTCCCACTACAATCTCACTCCCTCCCACCTCCTGCGGCACTTCATGTGAGAGGAAGCAACATGCCGCACCTCGCACCTTGCATATGCTCACCGCTACTCTTCACACGTAGTATTTCATATACTAATTCCATGTAATTTATTCAAGGGGAGAGTCTCCACTAGCAAATGCCTGTAAATGGCTAGCAGAGAACCCTGGGAATCTGCCACTACTACCAGTCGAGTTTTTAAGCTGCTCTCTAAAGAAATGGATACTTGAGCAACATTATCATATATACCTTCCCATCACATCTTGCACACGTTTCACAGCCATTAGATGTACACGTATGTGGCAGCAGACCTTCAAGAGTCTACTATAATATCTGCTTTTCAGAAAGCACATATTTGGCAGCCTATAATACAGCCTATAGAGCCTACGCCTACTCTACCAATCCGGGAAGAAAGGGCTACAGCACTGGAAGCCTCGGAAAGTGAGGCCGAGTAATTTCGCAGAGTAGGTAGAGCATGTACCTTTACATACAAATTACTACGGACAGATGAAGTGCCGCAACTTGCTTTACCCTCCACTGAACCCTTCCAAAAAGGCAAAAAGGCAAAAAGATAACTGCTCTCGGCAAGGCTCGAACTTGCGACCTTTGGATGTCATCACATGATTGTTTATCAATCACGTCATATTCAACATATGAGACCAACGCTCTAGCCAACTGAGCCACGAAAGCTGTTTGGTTTGAGTGGCAGCCGCTTATGAGGATTGATGAGGCGCGTGGCTGCGTGGCTCACGTGGAAAAAGGCGGTGAAGACCTTGCCGTTCCCTGTGTTCTGTGGCTCCGTACCTCCGTAGAGTCCCGCTAAGCCGATGCTCGGTAAGGCGATGTTCGCGATAATGCGATAATGCGATAATGCGATTTTTTTTCTCGTCCCGATTCAAAATACATACAACGACCGGTATCATCAATATTGCTCCGTTACCACCTAAAATCGCCTTATCCAATAATAGACCCCCATCACTATTAAGCAGCGTCGTGCACTTAGAGAGTGGCATTCTCGACAATACCCTCGACCGTCACAAAAGGCCTGTTAACAGTAGTTTAAGGACAGATACAACCATTCTCTTAGTCAATCAACAGTCTTAAGAGTCTATTTTGACAGTGTCGATAACAGCTACTCGACCTCGCACTAGAACATGCCTTACCTTAAGGAGATCCTTTTCGCTTAGCAAAGGCAGATTGAAGGTCGAGCTGGAAACACAAGTAGAGAGGCTTTGAAGGAAAGGGCAAGGTAGATTTAGCAGCAACTTCCATAGTATTTAACACAGCCTATACCTAATTTCTTAGTTAGTTAGCTCTCTCGATTTAAGAAGCAACACAACATCTAATAGTATACAAATCACAGCAAGGCAGGATCTGTTAGCAAGTCTATAGAAGAGGATATAAAGGCTTTACAAACTCTAGCTAGAGAATATCAAGAGGAGGATATATACAATATAGATGAAACAGCATTGTTTTAGCAAACGGTTCCATCTAGAGGTCTTGCAACCTAATCACAGCTAGGAATCAAGACCATAATAAGCTTTAAAGACTGTATAATTCCTTAATTAAGAGGTTGAAATTGACTAGTTGAATTAGGAGGAAGCTAGCAGTGTTACGGCTATAGTAACATGATGTCATGGTTATAGGGCCAGGGCCTAGTAACGTGACGTGTGAGTCACAGTGGGAAGCGGGGTAGGCTGCCATGTGACGGGGCTAATGGATAGTTGCAGAAACTAGTGGATATTGGATAGTTGAGCTATCCACAAACTATCCTGAATATCTAGCTATCCGCCAACTATCCAGATTACCCATGAGGCACGACGCCACTATATAAGTAGATAGTATTTCCTTAGATAGGAGCTTCGTGCTCAACTCAATACAGTATTTGTTATATACTAGTAACGTGTTACTTGAAGCCTTTGTGTCTGATCCCCTGCCTCCTCTGATAAGTAAACCTTTACGCAAGAGAACCTCTGTGCCTTCTATCGTTTAGAAGTCAGCGTTACACTTTGAGCACCACTTCTACGAGGCACTGGCTCATACACAAAGCAACATGTCTGTCGTCAGTTCGAAGGGGAAAACCCCCACCACGCCAACTTCGTCTCAGAGGTCTAAGCCTGAGAATGAAGAGATGCCCGACGCACCCACCGTCAACGAACTCAAGGAAACTCTACGCGTCAAGTTGCCCGACACTTACTCCAGCAACCGAAAGGAACTTGAGGTGTTTTTGCTACAGGTCGAACTGTACCAGCACTTCAATGACGAGAAGTTTCCCACCCAGGAGAGCTATGCCCTGTGGACTGCGTCCTACCTTAGGGGGGAAGCCCTGCGATGGATCGAACCATTCCTCAAGGATTATTTCAAATATGAGAGTACCAATGGAAGCATGGCAACTACGCAGACTATGTTTGGCAGCTGGAAAGGATTCTGTAAGGAAATCCGACGCATGTTCGGAGACATTGATGAGATTAAGACCGCGGAAGACCATCTGTTTGCACTTAAGCAGACTGGCAGCGCCCTCACGTACTCCACAGAATTCCAGAGATACGGCAATCAGACAGGATGGGACGCCAGCGCACTCATCAGCCACTACCGACGTGGGCTGAAGAGCCATATACGTATGGAACTTGCCCGTTTGGAACAACAACCAACGGACATGGTAGCGCTAATCGAACATACGGTCCGAATCGACAATCGACTATACGAATTCCAGAAGGAACGTCGGACCTATGACAAGCCCAAGAAAAGTTACCCCTACCGGGGAAACGAGGGCAGACGACGGGATCAACACCCGCGAGACAACCGTTGGTCGGACCCAATGGAACTCGATGCCACGTTCAAACCTGGATGACCCCGTGACCCTAAGAAAGACAGACAATTCAAGGAACGACTCTGTTTTAACTGCGACAAGCCAGGCCACATGGCCCGAGACTGCAGACAGCCAAAGAAAGGGAACAGTGGACGCAAAGTCGGCAAACAACTCAATGCTACCTGGCAAGGCCGGGGAGGTTACAACGCCTCGGGGACAGGACAGTTGAACGCAACATTTGTGAGCAAACAGGACTGGGGAATAAACGGCAAAAGCACCCCAGAAGACGAGAGCTCAGACGAAGGGTCGGAGGCGGAATCATTTACCGTCTCGGAACAGGGAACCTTCGACGAGCTCGCACCTACGGAACCAATGAGTCCACGGTGCAAGAGCGTAGTAAGACGCATGGCAAAACACGCCCACGCGAAGATTAGGGCCGAACGAGACAAGCCCAGCGGCCAGAGGAGAATCCCCACGCTTAAGGGCATCTACGGGAACCTGTTACAGGGACTTCCGTTAGAGTGCAAGGTGGACGACTGCAAGGATGACCTCTGGAGATACTACGACCAACTAACGAATACCCGCAGGCTGCTTGGCACGTCCCCAGATGTAGCTAAGTTGGAAGCCCAAGAAGCGGAAGAACTGGAGAAGGATGTCGAGCATATGGCTAAACTGAAGAATATGAAAAGCGTCGAACTTTACTACCAGGACCGCAGGAGAGCCCTGGAGAAGTACGATGAGAAAGCCAGAGATATGCTCCGACGGGAAAATGCGAGACCCACTCCACGCATCGAAAGGAGAGCCATGGAGCAACTAGACACGTTCTCCACGCCTCCGAGGGAAGATAGTGCATGGGTGAGAGGACAGCGGGAACTATCAACGACAG